TTTTTTTTTTTTGGTACTGAGGATCGAACTCGGTACATTGCACTTGCATGGCAGGCACTGGAACCACTGAGCTAAATCCCTGGCCCTAAGGTGAAAAATTTTTAAATCGGTGGTTTTACTTCTGTGGAAGATGCAAGCAGAAATACTTGTACATTTATGAAGAAGGCAGTTCTATCTATTTATAAAACAAAAAAATTAGGGGAAAAAAAAATCCCAAGTACCTTATCAGTTGCTATGTAAAACCCACTTTGTAGTTGAGGTTTGTTAAATGAATGTTGGATACATTTTCATAATGTATTAAAACAGGTAAATTGGAATATGAAATTCCATTGTGATTATAATAGCAAGATTTTGTCATTGACTGTATTTGGAACCTAAAGACAAGCATCAAAATATCAATGGTGATTAACTGGACTAGCATTACGAGTATTTTTTATACTTTTACATATTGGGATACTTTTAGTAACTTAGAAAATATAAGAAATGATTTTAACAGAGATAATTGTCCTTCAAATTTGTACTTACTGGCCCTGTTTGAGTTTGACTTTACATTTTACTCACTACTGAGTTACCAAATTCATGAATTTGGTTTTTGCAAATTGCACACTTGCTGTGAATTACTTAGAACCTTTGAGTCTGTACTCCTGGGGCTTTCTGGTCATTCCTGAACATGTGCAGAATAGCAGGAAACTTGGATTGCCTGAGACCGTGTTCCTGTTCGTGGCTGAGTGGGACCGCTCCCTACCTTCTTTCTTGTTTCACTTCTTATCTGCAGCCCAGTATCTGTTTCAAAGTCTGTTTAGTGCTATGTGTTGCTCATATTTGTGATGTTTTCACACTATCTTAATACTCCTAAGAAGGCTATGGTAGGCCTTATTAGGAGGAGGTAGTGTGAGACAGCTTACCTAGTTCAGGTATGAGTCGCAGTGCCATTAGATGTGAGTTTAGCGTTAATGAAGAAACATGCCTTTCATATTCATTGAGTAGGAACACATAGAAAGTTATGTGCTGATCACTTTATCCTGTAGGCACCCTGATCCAGTGTTCTAGCTTAGTTTTCTAGGCAACTGTGTAAACAGAACTGCTGTGAATGAGAGTGGACTGTATTCAGTGTTTTGGTATAATAATCCAATATAGTGTGTTTTTTCCTTGTTTTAAAAAACCCATACATAAAATTATATGTATTTATGAGGTATGTTTGTACATTGTGTGACATTGAAATCAGGGTAAATGTAACTCTCCTCAAACATGTACCATATCTTTGGGGTAAAAACATTCAAAATATTTCTTCTAGCTTTTTTGAAAGTTTGTTACTATTGCCATTCAACCTACCATGCAGTAGAAACCAGATTTTCATTCTCGTCTGTGACTAAGCAGTGCTGCTTCACCCTCTTCCCTTTGCCTGTCCCTGTCCCCTGCTCTCACCTGCCTGTGGTAACCACTGTTGTACTCTGAACGCCTCTGAGATGGGCTTGGTAACAGTCCACATGTGAATGAGGTTTTGTAGTATTACTGTGCCTGGCTTATTTCACTTAATGTAATGACATGCAGTTCTGTACATATGGTTGCAAATGACACTATTTCATCCTTTTTATTAAAAAAATTGATTTAATTTTGGGAGACAATACAGGCTGGCCTTGAACTTGCTATGTAGCCCAGGCTGGCCCAGAACTTGAGATTCCCCTGCCTCAGGTTCCTGAGTGCTTTTGCACCACATTTTCTTCACCCAGTCATCAGTTGATACATTGTTTCAGTTTCTTGGCTACTGCTAATATTGCTGGAGTAAACATGAGAGTACAAAATGTCTCTTGACCCTGATTCTATTACCTAGTACAGGAATTGTTGGATCATATAGTAGTTTCATTTTTAATTTGGAGGGGGAACTGCTGTACTGTTTCCATGATGACTATATCAACTTACATTCTCACCAGCCATATGTAAAATTCCCTTTTCTCTGCATCCGTGCCAGCACTTGTTATCTTCTGTTTTTGATAATAGACATTCTTACTGGGATGAGGTGACATCTCACTGTGGTTTTGGCTTGCATTTCCCTGATAGTGATGTTGAACGTCTTCCCATGTACCTCTTGGCCTTTTGTGTATCTTTTGAGAAATGTCTCTTCTGTTGCCTATTTTTAAATTGGATTGTTTTATTGGTGTTGAGTTGATTTGAGTTCCTTATGTATTTTGGATATTAGCTTCTTGTCAGATGTATAGTTTGCCATTGTTGTCTCCCATTTTGTAGATTCTCTCTACTCTGTTGTTTTCTTTGCAGTGCAAAAATGTTTTAGTTTCTTGTGATTTCATTTGTCTTTTTTCTATTGTTTCCTCTGCTTTTGCAAGTTGTGTTCAAGAAATCTGCCTTTTCTAGTGTCTTGAAGCATTACCCTTATTTTCTTTTGTGTTTGCATAGATTCAGGTCTTTCATTTAAATCTTTAATCTGTTTTAACTTGATTCCATATTTTAAGAGATTTTTAGGTCTGTTTTCTTTACTTTTTTAGTTTTTAATTCTTTTCGTTTGTTTGAGACAGGGTCTCACTCTGTAATTCAGGCTGGCCTTGGACGCATGGCAGTCCTTCTGCCTCAGCCTCCCGAGTGCTGGGATTACAAACGTGCGGTACCACATCTGGCTTGTTTTCATTTTTCTGCATGTGGCTATCTAATTTTTCTAGCAGCATTGAGGAGACTACCCTTTCTCCAATGCATGTTCTTAGCATCTTTATAAAAGCTGTTGGTTGAAGATACATGGGATTTATTTTGAGGTTCTCTATACTGTTTCATTGGTCAGTGCATCTGTTCATATGCCAGTACTATGCTATTTTGATTATTATAGCTTTGTTGTGTATCTTGAAATCAGTGTAATGGCTCCTACTTTGTTTTGGTTTTTCCTAGAGATTGCTTTGGTTCTTTAAGTTTTATTGTGGTTCCATGTGAGTTTTAGGGCTGTTTTTTTTTTTCTTGTTTAGTGAAGAATATCACTAGTACTTTGATAGGGATTACATTGAATCTGTAGAGCACTTTGTGTGGATATTTTAGCAGTATTGACTCCTCAAATCCATGAATGTGGAATAACTGCAATATTTTTGGAGTTCTCTTCAGTTTCTTTTATAAGTGTTCTTTCTTTTTCCTTGTAGAGATCTTTCACCTAGGTTTTTTCTTTTTGGTGGCTTTTGTAAACAAGATTGCTTTCTTCAGTAATCACATGGAGTCTTTGTTTAATGAGTGAATGGATGATGATCTGTTGTATCCCTGGTATCAAGGAAACAGATGGGGGAGGGTTGGTCAGCACAAACCTATTGATGGCCACTCCTCCCGGGTAGCGACTTGCCTCTTCACTGTACTAACCCTCAGTCTGACATGGGCTATAGGGTGTAGCAGATTTTCAACAGATACCACTTCTTGAAAGTGTTAAGCAGGAATTTAATCTTGAAGAATATTTATGAATAAGCAAAATGTGTATGTATTTGACTACATAATGTAAAATTATGTAAGTAAAATGTGTATAAAGAAAGCAAGAAGGAAATATGTCAGAATGTTAGTAGTGGTTGTCTTTAGATAGCAAGCAGATTGATTATTTACGTTTTCATTCTTATATTTTTGTGGTATATTTTCTTTTTTTTTTTGGTACTGGGGATCGAACTCGGGTCCTTGCGCTTGTGCAGCAGGCGGCAAAACCACTGAGCTAAATCCCCAGCCTTTTTGTGGTATATTTTCTAAAGTGAGTGTAGTGACTTTCTAAAGGGAGTATGTTTCTTATATTAAAACTGTATAGGGAGGTCCAGGGATTTAGCTCAGTGGTTCTGCCACCTGTCTCGCAAGCACAAGGACCTGAGTTCGATCCCCAGTACCAAAAACAAAACGGAACAAAACAAAAAAACAATTGTGTAAGGGCTGGGGATGTAGCTCAGTGGCGCTGCACCTGCCTGGCAAGTGCAAGGTCCTGGGTTCGATCTTTGGTACCAAAGCAAAACAACTGTACAAAGTATCTGTTGTCATTATGAAGATTAGCAAAATCATGTAATTGATGACAAAATAAACTTATTGTTGATTTGGAAAATTATGAGTTTGCTTTAATTAGGCAGTAAGTGGAGAATTACAATATTAAGGAAATCTTCATCTGTTTAAGGATCAAGAATTGGTCAAAATAGTTGGAATACGGTACGAAGTTGGGCCCCCTACACTCTGTTGCCTTAAACTAGCGTTTATAGATCCTGCGACTGGAAGACTAATGGATAAATCTTTCTCTATTAGGTATGTATTATTTTTTAATGTAATTACTTAAATTTAGATTTTACCATCTTGCTGACTAGAGCATGCCCCTCCTCTTTAGCAGTGCGCTGTGGGCAGCCAAAGATGCAGGTCAGGCTTTTGGGATGAGGTCATAATGTAGGCCTGTCAAGCAGTAGTAAGACAGGGTTGGGGAGGTTGTTTGTGTGTTTATTTTAGCTTGAATTTGGGAATAAATGATGTGTTGTGCTATGTCAGTGGCTGTCCATTATGATAGCCGCTAATCACATGTGGCTTTTGAGCACTTGGAATGTGGCTGATTTGCATCGAGTATGTTGTAAGTGTACATATTCCATCTTGAAGGCTTGGAATGAAGAAAAAGAATGAAAAATACCTTTTTACATATTGTAATATTTAGGATATATTTAGTTAAATAAAATACATTGCTTTTTACCTTTTTGAAGTATGACTAGTTAAAAATTTAAATTTTTTTTATCTCACTATTTCTTTTGGATAATGTTGCCTATTCTCTAGGCAGTGTAATAATTTTTTATTTTTGTTTAGATACCACGATATGCCGGATGTTATTGATTTTCTTGTATTGCGTCAGTTTTATGATGAAGCAAGACAGAGAAATTGGCAGTCTTGTAAGTCTATCCTTACTTTTATATGTAGCCTTAAAAATTAGTCTTTCACTTTACTGAGCTCTCTCTTTGATTGTAGCTCTCTTAATTATGGTGTATATAAACATGTAAACTCTTGAAGGAAACATAAGTGACCTACAGTTATATTTTGCTTATGCCTTGTTACTAATTGGCCCTGGTCGTATGTAGACTTTTTAACTAAGCAGTTATTCATCTGTCCTTAATGCCCTTTTTCTCATCCAAAAAAGGTTATTTTTACCCATTGAGATAGGCTAGAGTAGACTTACTATGTCTTTTTAGACTTCCCCATATTACATTATATATAATTGTCATTACCATAACAGTGGTATAACTTACACTATTGTCCTAGGATCTAAAATGATCAGAAAGTTGAAAAATAATTTCCTATTTCACACTGCAAATGTTCTGGTATACCAGTGTATTTTATCTTTGACACAACCTAAAGTTGAGTAGAGTTACTTGGAAACTAGTCCTTTGAGAAATAAAAAAAAAGTTTGTATACATTTATGGTTTATAACCTTGCAATAGATATATGGGTTGGTAGAAAAAGGGTTGACCTCAGCCCAGGTACTCAGCGACTTGAGCATGATTTTGTGATGGTCACTGAAGGGTCCCTTATGCAGGACAGGACAGGATTGATAACTAAGGCTAACGAAGCAGCGTGAGGTAGCAGCTCCAGTCTGTGCCCCACAGGTGTGCATGTGTCACTCCAGCTGGAGTGCTACTGGCAGCTTATGTGTACGTGTAGAGGAGAGATTATTTTATGATACACAGTAGGGCCTTGGTTCACAAACTTAATTCTTTCTACAATTCTGGTTGCAGAATTTGTTCCAACCAGAATTGTGGAATTAATTCTGGGACCAGAATCGTGGAAAGATTCTATTAAGTTTTACCCAGGCTTGTCCCCTAGTGTACACATTCGTAAATGATGTTAGGTCTTCATTAATCTTTCTAGTTTTTTCTACATTTTCCCACAGACTACAAGTAGGTAAATTATAGATAAGGGTGGTCTTTAAAATAGACTGTTCTTAATAGTAATGCCTATCTATTAATCAGGATTATTTTGGGGTTAGAAATAGAGGACATTTTTCTCAAGAAAATCATTTAGCCACTAAAAAACAATAGCCAAAAAACCAAAAGCCACTGGAATAATGTGAGAATTAACAAGTCCTACAGGCAAGTGTCAAGAACTTTTAAAGCTTTTATGCTGTTTAACTTTTCAGATGAGGTATTGGGAGCTCCCATTTTTACCAGTAATTTAAAACTTGAAATAGTTTAAAACCTAGTTCCTTACAGCTAACCTCTAGAGATGGATTTCCAGTTGCCGTGTGTAATTTAGTGGTTTTTGATTTTTCTGGCTGAGAAATTATTATGCCAGACTTTTTTATGTGTGTGTGTGCGCGCCAGACTTTTTACACTAAATCTTAATTCATTTTTTTTCTACCGTAAAATCTTAACCTTCTTGCCTGGAATCTGAGCAGTATGTTAGAGGAAGTTGCTTATTTTTATTTCTACAGTGTATTTTATTAATCCTATTCTCAGAAGGACAAAATGAGCTTAGAATATTTGAAAAATGTTGCACATTTCTAGGGTGGGCCTTAGCTGGATAGGTGATTTTCTTTGGTGGTTTTTTGTTTGTTTTCTGTTTTGGTACTGGGGATTGAACTCGGGACCTTGAGCTTGCAAGGCAGGCCTGGAACCACTGAGCTAAATCCCCGGCCCCTCTTTGGTGTTTATTTTGAAAACAGTGCAGTGGATGGTAAAGAAAAGGTACAGTTACAATAGTAGTCTGTCTTTTTCTACACTGAGAACATGTACTAATAAAAATTAAAAAGAAATTAAAAATCTCACATGGTCAAAAAATTTAAAAATGGGCTTATGTTATTTTAAAAAAGTAATCTTTTGTAATATATGTAAAACACAAAGGAAATGCAATTTATTTCAGTAGTTGAAATTTGGTACACTTGGAAAATATATTTAGAAATTTATATATCCTAAAACCATTTAAGTAAGTTGAATTATTTCTGCATTTTTATTGGTTTGTCTAGGCACCCTCCTAAGATCTACTTTCCTACTTTTATATTATGCTGAGGCAGTAGAGTAAGTGGATATACTTCCACTTCCACAAATATTTACATTTTTTTGAGAATACTTTTAGACCGGTTTTTCGTTGGGTGCTTTTTAAGAATTAGAACATTAATTTATGTGGAATTATTTATATAGTAACAACTTTAACTATAGTCAAATCATCAGACTGGGGATTTAGCTCAGTGGTGCCACTGCTTGCCTCACAAATGCAAGGTCCCGAGTTTGATCCCCGGTACCAAAAAAAAAAAGTTACATAGTCAAATCATCATTCCTGTTAAAATTTTGTTTTATTCTTCAGGAAACTTTATATATTCCATAAGAATTGTAAAACATAATATTTTGGAGTGAGCTTTTAATTCCACTAAACAAAACATCATAAACCATTTTGCTGTATGTTAGCATATTGCATGGCTATTGGTCTTCAGTGTATTGATGAGTGCAACATACCATTTTTACATGTATTTTAGCACTGAAGATTGCTGAAGTGTGTGGAAGAATGGCTCATTTCAAAAATAAAATACACTACTTGGATTTCTTTTCTTCTCTATCATGGTTATTTTATAGCTGAAAAGTGTTAATAAATGTTAGCAAATGGATCCCTCAGACTTGATCATTTATCTTATAGGTGACAGATTCCGATCTATTATTGATGACGCTTGGTGGTTTGGAACAGTGTTAAGTCAAGAGCCCTATCAACCACAGTATCCTGATAGTCATTTCCAGTGTTACATTGTTAGGTTTGTATCAGATGAAGACTAACCATTTATAAATCATTTTTTATGTGTTAGGTTGTTGAATGACCTGTATGTTTCAGGTTAAATGTACTTTTTCTGTGATTAAGTATGTCAAGCTGACCTCCAGAATGTCTCTCAGACTTGTGTCTGTGAGTTTCCTATTCACTGAACTCCTGTTGTTCAGCTGCTGCTTGCTTGCTCCCTTGAGTCTGTTTCTGTAGCCTTCTAATATGTGTTTGTATATGTAATATTGTCATGGTCGTCTTTCAGGAGTAGGTAATATATCACTTACCTTCGAGAAAACCTTTACTTTTTATTGGCTAGGGAGTGAAAAAGCTTTGGCTGTGATATAAAGTTCACTTTGTAAAACCTTTTACTTTGGGTATGGGCTACTCAGGGTTTCTCATTTTTTTCTTAAATGTGACATACATTTTTACACTTTAAAAAAAACTCATGTATGCTTTAAAAATATTTAATGCTACTATTTATAACTTCATTGCATTTATTTGCTTTCATAATAGATGTCTTATTTTTATGTATAATTTGTTTTCATGAAAGGCTAACCAGCGTTTTGTTAACTGTTTTGTAAACAGGTGGGACAATACTGAAATTGAAAAACTTAGCCCATGGGACATGGAACCAATTCCTGAAAATGGTATATATTTATGAAATAGTGAAAATGTTTTATCTTTGTATAGTTTTTGATTTATTTTGCTAATGGACATAATATTGAGCACATTTGTGTTTTTTCATAAATGTATTCATATTATCACAGTAACTCAGAACTTTGCCAAGAGAAGACAACAGAATTATGTGTGTCTGTCTTAATTTACTTTTAGGAGGGCAGTACTAGGCCTTCACACTGAGCCACCACCCTCCTGTATTATTTTTTTCTGAGGCAGGGTCTCACTAAGTCACTGAGTTGTCCAGGCTGGGCTTGAACCTGCTTCAGCCTCCCAGAGTGCTGAGATTACAGGTTGTGCCATGTCTGTCTTACTTCCTCTTACTTTCAGATTTGCTTTCAAACAGCTTGATTCTAGCCGTTTTAGCAGTCTGCTAGCATTTCTCATGTAACCTTCCTGTGAACGCTTCCTGACCTCCTTCATGTAGCCCCCACTTCCTTTTTCTCATTCTTAGTCTGTTTTGCGCTGTTCTTCCTTCAAGGAAAAGATGTAACATGACTTCTGTCTGTGTTCTGCTTTCTGCCAACCTGTACTATAGTTCTGTGGATTTTCTGTCCTTTTCTGAAAGCCAGCCTTTCTTTCTTCCAGCATGTGGTGTCCTACTACTGCTGCCTTCTGGAGCATCTGATGTTTATTCTTAGTTCCTTTCCTCCAACAGTTTTAGTTTCCTTCTCCCTTTCTCTGGTCAGGTTTGACTGTGTCTCTTGAACCTTTCATTTGGCTCTCTTGGACATTTATTCTTTCCCTCTTGCTCAGCCTTTTGGAAGGGTGCTGTATATGTTTTGCCTCTGTTTCTTCATTACCAAGCTTCCTTTTATCATTACTGTCTGCATTCTAAGACACCAGAAATCGCTCCTCCCTGGGATTCAGCTATATCTGCCCCAGGGGCTCAGCCCTTTCTCTGTTTATTCCCTGTCATGTCTCCTCAGCCATGGCCCAGCTTTATTTTGGAAATAAGGATTTTTATGAAAATAAGGATTTTGTTGAAATAATGTTTTCTAGTAGCCGCACTACTGAAAAGCACTAATGATGCTGTTAGATTTTCCTTTGAGCATAGTAATATACAAATAGTGCTTGGTTGTATGAGAAGACTTTTTGCAGTGTATAGAGCATATAAAAGATAAGTAAAATCCAGCTTTTTTAATGAACAATTTTTTAGACGTGCAGTTAAAAATGATAATGGAATAAAATGTAGACTAAGTAAACCAAGATACAATGCAGATGTGCAGGTATTTTCCTGAATATTATAAATGAGAAAAAAAAACACTAAGAGGGGAAGATAAACTTAACTACTAATAATTAAAAAAAATCATAGCCGCCTCACCACATGGCTTTGCTGTATAAAACATCTTTAAAAAGTGGGGTGGGTGGGCAACCCACTTTCTGGTCCCCCTTCTGTGTCTCTTAGGCAGAAGCTTTCTTTCTCTCAATAAATTTTTGCCACTCTTAAAAAAAAAAATCAGACTTACAAATGTTACAAAAATAGTAGTACAAAGAATTTCTTTTCCTTTTTTTTTTTTTGGTACTGGGGATCAAACTTGGGTCCTTGCGCTTTCGGGGCAGGCGGTGGCACCACTGAGCTAAATCCCTGGCCCAGTACAAAGAATTTCTGAAAACACCTGGATTTCCCATTTTACATAGCTAGTTCAGGAGCTGTTAATCTCAGATAACTCTCGCTGATAGCATACATCATCTAATCTGTAGGCTCTGCAGATTGGATTTGTCAGTCCACTGCTGTCCTTGCAGGTGTTGGATTGAATGGTGCGTTTTAGTCTGGCGCTCCCCCAGTCTTCCATTGTCTTTTATGATCGTGACACTTTTATTGGGCAGTTATTTTGTAGAATTTCCTTTTAGTTTGTTTTGTCTGATATTTCCTCTTAATTAAACCCGGGCAGTTCATTTCTCACTGGAGTATTGGAGGAGTGTCATACCCTCAGTGCGTCGTTTCAGTCTTGGATGCTTGCACATTTCCTGTTGGCTGATGATACTGAGGTCTTCTTATTTGTTTATGATAATTTCTGTACTTTTGAAGAGATATTCAGATCCATTACTCATTTTTAATTGGGATTATGCTTTATGGATATCATAATTTCATCTGTTCCTTTTATATGTTGTCCATATTTGTGGGATTTTTTTTTTGTTATTATCTTGCCATTAGTTAATTTTGGATAGTTGTTATTGTGTGTCTTCAGGTTTATTACTGTTTTCTTCTAATTTGCTTTTATTATCATCCACCAGAGTTTTCACCTCACACTTTCTTTGTTGTACCGGGAATAGAACTTAGTACCTTGCGTTTGCCAGGCATGTGCGGCGCACACTGAGTTACATCCTTCGCACACACTGTTTTTTTAATCTATGGAAGTTAGATTTGGGGTTTGTTCCCCCCATATCTCCCTGCTTTTCTTTCTGGACAGTGGTATTACTAAATTGCTCAGGCTGGCCTCAAACTTTTGATCCTGCCTCAGCCTCCTGAGAAGCTGGGATTACAGGTGTGGGCACCACGCCCAGCTTCCTGGCCCTTTTAAGCAGATGCCTCATTATCTCTGATTCTTGCTGTTGTTTCTTTTCCTGGCCCCCTGCCATATTTCACATTTGAAGGCTGATTGGTGTGGTTGAAGGGAGGGAAGGGAATGGGGGAAAAAAAGAGGAATTAAGATACATCATGTACCAAGTACAAATTCCCTATGATGAATGTGATCATTTTGTGTATCTAAATTGTACCAATAAAATTTAAAAAGCCGTAACACTTGGCTAGGAACTCTGCAGCTCTCTCCTTCACAGCTTCCTCACTCTCCCTTGACTTGGGGCACTGTGTGTTAACTGAGGTGACCCCGCTGGCCCTGCCTGGGTGGAACTTCTTTCACCATGGCAGGGCTCTTCTCTCGGGAAGCTCATGCAGTCTTGAGACTCACCTCACTTGTTTCTGTTCACCGTGGGATTCTTGTCTTGGGCTTATGTTAATTTTCTTGAAAATCTTGTTTTTTTTTTAATAATTGTGTTTTGTGTGTGTGTGTGTGTGTGTGTGTTATCCTACATGATATGTGGAGTGAACTAACGAGCACCTGCTCTGTGCTAGGCATTGTTCTGAACAAGTCTGTGAGGTGGAAACTTTTTACTGTCCCTTCTGGCAGGTGGGTAAATTGAGACATAGGTTAAAAATGTGCCTGTTTGGGCTGGGAATTTAGCTTAGTGGTTCTGGCACCTGCCTTGCAAGCGCAAGGTCCTGAGTTCAATCCCTGGTATGAAAAAAAAAAAAAAAGTGCCTGGTGCCATAGGTTTTAGGTAGTATAGATATAATATGAATTCAGATTCTGGCTTTGATAAATTACTGTTTTCAAAGCACTTTGTTATGTTGTCTGCTAAATAGCTGCTTTGCCTTTCTGTGTGTGTGTGTGTGTGTTGGGGGGGAGGTTTCTGGGGATTAAATCCTGGGCTTGGCACATAGTAGCCAGGCACTTCCGTACTTATTTATATTCCCAACCTTTTTATTTTGAGACAGTCTCCCTAAATAGGCTGGGCTTTTGTGAACCCCCTTCCTCAGTCTCTCAAGTAGCTGGAATTAACAGATGTATACCACCATTCCTGGCTTGCCTTTTTTTGATTAGATAAAATATTACAAGCATTACTCTGAAATAGATTGTGAAAATACAAAATTTATGACTTTTTAGAGTGGCAGGATTTATTTTCTTCCCAATGTCTTTTATATTCCTGTAGAAAATAAAATTGAAATAAATTTTCTTTGCTGGAACATGAATTATAAGTTTATTGGAATCATATACCATCCATATTTTTAAAAATTTCCATCTAATAATTGATAATAAGGCTACTTAACGTAAGTAAAAATAAACCTTTCCTCCTTAAAAAAGAAGACTATACGCCAGGGATTTAGCTCAGTGGTTTCACCGCCTGCTGCCCAAGCACAAGGACCCGAATTCGATCCCCGGTAACCCTCCAAAAAAGCCAAAAAAAACCCCAACTGTACTTAAGACTTAACTCTAATAGGGGCCAGGGATTTACCTCAGTGGCACCATGCCTGCCTCGAAAGCTCAAGGTCCTGAGTTCTATCCTCAGCACAGGGTCGGGGTGGGGGATTAACTCTAAACCAAACCAAAGCCTTGAAGACCTTTCACAAAGATATTTAAGCAATGGATGCTATGTATAAAACGTGTTTTAACTGATGTATTTTCTAGAGGAAAAGCTCCTCTTAAGTATTCTGTCCGTATTTTAGCTTAAAAGCCATTATAATTATGCGCTTCCCAGTGCCTCTGTTCCTTCATAGGAAAAATGCTCTGAATAAACCTATAGCCAACACATAGTAGATGGTATTCCCTATCTGTGTAGTAGAACTCATTTAATAAGTAAAGTATTTTGAGCTTCCACATTATTTTCATCTTATTTTTTCCTAAGAGTTATAAAAAAGCCCTCTCAGCTTTGATTGCACTTCTTTATTAAGAGAATTGGCATTTGTCATGTTCGGATTATTTTACCCATTTTTTTTGGTACGGGGGATCGAACTTGAGACCTTGCACTTTCGAGGCAGGCGGCAGAACCACTGAGTTAAATCCCTGGCCCTACCCATTTTTTTCTTGAGTATTTAAAGATTAATATTTGACATTATCGAAGTTCTAAAACTTTAGTGTCAGGTTCAATTTGTATTTTCAGAGGCTCCTGGGTTTTCTTTGAAGAAACAGACTGAAACTGTGAAGTTGGCACTGTACTTTAAATTGTATCAGGGTAGACATATTGTATCTGTACCTTAATTTAAGCAATTTGGTAATGTCAGTAATTTTTTAAAAGTTGAAATTTGAACTGTTTTTTTTTTTTTGGAACTGGGGATTGAACTCAGGTCCTTGCGCTTGCGAGGCAGGTGGCAGAACCACTGAGCTAAATCCTGGCCCTTGAACTCTTCTTTTATGGTGGAGGTGACCTACTTTAGAAACTTTGAAAATTTAATTTCAGTGTGGTATACATTTGGTTTTTCAGTTTTATTTTTCTCTTTCCCTCTGTCTACTTTTTAAAAATGGGATTTGTAGTTGATCCACCTGAAGAAGTTGGAGCAAGTATTTCTGTTACATCAGATGAGCTAGAGAAATTGCTCTACAAACCACAAGATGGTGAATGGGGTCAGAAATCAAGAGATGAGGAATGTGAACGGATTATCAGCGGTATAGATCAGCTGTTGAATCTTGGTAAGGTTTTTTTGTTTTTGGGGAAGAAATGTTTCATATTCAAGTTTCTCAGAAGAAAGAAGCATTTCAAAATAGCATGATGAAGTTGTATTCTTCAGTATAATTCCTATTTGTTAGTGGTTTGTAGTGTTATATGTAGCTCTATCTTTGAAAAATTTGTGTAGAAATTCCACATAGAGGTAATGGATTTATGGATGTTATCTCTTCTGTCTTCCCTAACAGATATAGCAGCAGCTTTTTCAGGCCCAGTTGATTTGTGTACGTATCCCAAGTACTGTACTGTAGTAGCTTATCCAACTGATCTTTACACAATTCGAATGAGACTCGTTAATCGATTTTACAGGTTAGTGGAAAACTATTTTGAAAATAGTTTAAAAGCTCTTTGGTCATACCAGCTAAGGTAAACAAATAGACGTAGTGAGCAGTTGATGGTGACTTAAGCGTTTTGAGGGGCTGCTTTAACATTATTTTGTTTCATTTTCTTTAAGATGTGTTAGATGGCTTTGGATAAAATAGCATATCTGAATCTTCAATCTTTAGTGTAGTGTGTTTTTCTTAGAAATTATGTTAAATAGCTAGATACTTTTTTTTATTTGTATGCTAAATTTCTTACTGCTTTGTTTAAAAGTACAATTTAATGAATTAATAATTGGACTTTGATCTTTGATGAAAGATTATTCCCCAGAGGCATTCACTTTTTATCTTTGGTTTCTAGAAAACTAGCCATTATAAAATTTCCTCTTCATAAAGACCTATAGCTATTGATGGTATTTTAAAAAATCCTACTATTTTGAGAAATTAGCATTATACACAAGCCTTCTTGAATCTACAGTTGGTATAATTTATCTGTGTCTGACTGTATACCAGGATGGACATTTGAATCTGAAACCACTTTGCCAGTTTTGAGTGAAACTGACTCTTAGAGTTGATAATGTTTAACACGTTTTCTTCATTGAGTACGAACAGCTTTAAAAGGGGAACCGACCGACAGGCATTGTGAAAAAGGGAGGTTACCTTGTTGGATTTCTGTGCATGATTAGGTAGTCTGTTAAGATTTGGTAGTTCAAGGGCTGGGGATTTAGCTCAGTGGTTTTGGTGCCTGCCTTGCAAGCACAAGGTCCCGAGTTCGATCCCCAGTACCAAAAAAAAAAAACAAAACCCAAATGTTCTAACGGCCAGGGATTTAGCTCAGTGGTTTCACCACCTGCTGCGCAAGGGCAAGGACCAGAATTCAATCCCCGGTACTGGGCGGGGGGAGCTTTGGTAGTTCAGTGTCCAGTATAATTCTATGACTGATCAAGTTGATAGCATTAGATTATTCATAATAACTTCACACCTACAATTAATATTCCATGGTGATTTAATTAACATGCTGAATTTTTCTTTTTTGGGATTTAGATGTTGACTTTTTAGTTCTAAGCTATAAATTGTCTACTTTATTTTGAAGGAGATTGTCTGCATTAATTTGGGAAGTCAGATACATAGAACATAACGCCAGAACATTTAATGAACCTGAAAGTGTAATCGCAAGATCAGCTAAAAAGATAACTGACCAACTTTTAAAATTTATTAAGTAAGTGATCTCGTATTATATATGTTGTGCAAAAATGACTCCGTGTTGGGCTCATATAACCACCTAGCTTTTATTTTTTTATTTTTTACTCTTTGAATGACACTCATGTAATGTTTTACTGGAGATGACATTTCTTTACATACTCATTATAATTTCAGTAAAAGAATCAGAAATTGAACAATTCATTTTTTCTGTTTTAAAAATCTTGAAATAATCTTGCACCACAGAGTTGCCATATACCCTTCATCCAGTTTCCTCTTAACATTTTACATAACTATGACACTTATAAAATGTTTTAAAAAATAATCTTGGTACAGTTACTGAGTGAAATGTAGAATTTGTTTGGATTTCACTAGTTTTTGGACCAGTATACTTTTTGTATTTCAAGATGCAATCTGGAATCTCCATTGCATTTAGGGTTTTGTTTTCTTAGTCTTCTTCAGTCTGTCCCTCAGTCTTTCATTTTGTTTCATGAACTTGTCAATTTGCTGAGTGTTGTTGCTTGTTTTATAAAGTACTTAGGTTGGGTTTTCTGGCATTTTCTCACGATAAGGTGATTCTATATTGGTGAAAATGTTTATGTATATGAATAGTCCATCTATTATCTTGCATTGGGAATATTATGATGAAAACTGATGTGGAAATTGAGACCCACATTCTATCCCAACATGACTTAGTGAATGTTCCTTGGGACATCAGACAGGTAACTCAGTTTCAGCACCCTTCTGACCTTACAGCTTCCCATATAGTATTTCCTTTTCACATAGCTGTTGAAGATCTCTGAAAGACTCCTGTAATGGAGAATATAATTTATAGACAGTGCCAACATCTAGCCAAAAATTGGAGAGTTAACATTCCTATCAACTTTGCCTGGTTCATTGTGTCCTAAGTTTTGGAGACTCAGACCTAGCTTTGCCCCAGAATCCCTTCAGAAATCACATACCCGTTTTTGTTTCTTTCGTACTTATATATCCATACTTCAGTATACTTAAGATCTGCTTTAATTTCTGCGTCCTTTTTTTCTTCTCTTTTGTATCAAATTTTTTATTTTAAATCAGATCTTTCCTTGGTATGTACTGTATGAATAGTAATACTTAGAACTAAGTCATCTGCCTGTTCAGCTGAACATGTGAGACTGAACGTGCTACTTCTGAATTAGCAGCTTTCTTTTTGTACATGTTTAATGGGGGCACAAAATCTTTGGGATTCTAAATTAGAATTTTAAGATGGCCAGTTATTTCCACAGAGGACTGGCTGAAAACCTGGTAGTATTCTTTTTGAAATTAGGTCTTGGTAGATTGAGGCCCTGTTTATAATTTAGAATATAGTTTGAATCCTTGCCAACAGTAACTATATCTGCATACTATTTTTGTGAAAAATTGCTTTTTAGGAATCAAGAGTGCACAAATATCTCGGAACTGTCTAACACATCTGAAAATGAAGAACAAAATGCTGAGGATCTGGTATGAATTTTGTCAATTTTATAATAATGTTCTTAATTTCTATGGCAATTTGAAAATGATTAAGTTGAAAGTGTTGCTTACCCAATATCAATTTTAACCATATTCCAATGAACAATGGAAATAGGATATTTGATAAAAATTTATTTTTTTAAGTTGTCTAGATGATCAGTGAGGTAATTTTAGCCAGTGATTGATATCATTTAACATATATCTGAATCATTTCAGGTGTGGAATATTCTTTTTCCAAATTTTAGCTAGTGAAAGGTATGTTGTAAAAAGTACAATAGAAGTATTGTTGATAAGACCAGTATCTCTGAGTATTGAGTATAATCATAAATAAAAATCAGTGAACTGGACTACAAGGTGTCCTTGACATCCTTTCCTCAAGATGTTACTAAAGTTTAAGTGCAGAAATAGCAAAGTGTTGTATATAATTTTACTTCATACAGAATTAGCCTATGGAATGGTGTTGTAAGAAGGATGCTGTTTAAAGACAATACAGTGTTGATTTCTGTACAAACTCTTACTATAGTTTCCTTATTTACTGCTAATATATGTTCAGAATAATAATAGACATAATAATAAGTGGCTCAGGAAATAAGAAAATGTATAGAACACAAAATCCAGGAATTGTAAGAGACTATGTATCTCTGGAGTTTTATGGATAGAGATAAGAATGCAAATTTGAAGCAGGTTTGAACATTTCATATTTAGGAAATGCGCAAATCAACTCTATAGGGCCAGGGATTTAGCTCAGTGGTTCTGTCTCTTGCCTTGCAAGCGCAAGGACCCGAGTTTGATCCCTGGTACCAAAAAACCCCCCAAAAAACCAAAAAAACCAAAACTCTTTATAAAAGCAGAATTTTTGAAGTTTGGAATTAGTGCATGTCCTGAGGGAACGTGAGAAAGGTTTATGAGGAATAATTGATGTTTTGAAATCTGGGTGCCATAGATACTGTCTGATAGCCTGTATTTTGAGATTTTGTTAATAACAGGTTATAACCTTGGTAAGACTGAGTGTCTTTGATATGCTTTTTATTAAGATTATATTCCCACTGAGAAAGTAAGGTAAAGTGAAGTAAAGTACTCTGATTTTCTTCCTAGGATGACAGTGATATTCCTAAAACATCCTCTGGAAGGAGGAGAGTAAGTTACTCTGCATGATTGTTGTATTTGGTTTGTTCTTTGTTTAAAAATCAGATCTTTAAGATTTTATGTTCTGTTTTTGAAGTTATTGATACACATACTGAATATTTTATGAGAAATCACTAAAAGCCACAGAACTAGGAAAAAAGTGTTTTGTTCAAGAGTTACGATTTGAGCTATATTCTTAGAGTGAGATGAGGAAAAATTTTAAAAAAGGAAATACTAAAGACAAAACAATATGTATAAATAGGGCATGTAAAGGCATTGGCCTGACTGATGTGCAGGTTGGTGTTGGTATAAGGTGGTATGTCTGGACATATTAGGAGCAGATTGTGGTGATACCGAAATCCAGGGATTTCATTCGTATTTAAAGCAGGAACTCAGTTATACAGCCAAATAGATGGATAGAATTTGAATGCTAAGAAAGGTTATTAAAGGAGATGGGCTAGGAGCTCCTTGTGTGAATATAGCATGACAAGTGGGAATCTAGTCAGGGAAAGTGGTTGCTTGGAATGGAGAAGGGAAATGTGAGACTGTTTCTGGGGAGAATTAGGAGTTAGTAACTGAATCTTTTTTAAAAATGGAGATTTGTTTGGAAGTTGAGATTGAAGGTTAAAGGACAAGGGTGCACAGAAATAAGTTTAGGAAATTGGGTAATTAAGCAACTCCTAAGTTTTCATGTAATAGGTTCATTAAAAGTTTAAGGTAGGGCCGGGGATTTAGCTCAGTGGTTTTGCCACCTGCTATGCAAGTGCAAGGACTCAAGTTCGATCCCCGGTACCAAAAAAAAAAAAAGTTTAAGGTAATTCGTAAGAAAATGGTTAAAACATGTTAACTCAGTTCATTTAAAATTTCATCCAGATGCTTTTTAAATTTAAGCATTTTTATCAAATATTTTCTTTCACCATGTTTGCCCTAAGTAACATTAAGAAGTTAGACCTAGGGTGGGGGATTTAGCTCATTGGTTTTGCCACCTGCTGCGCAAGTGCAAGGACCCCACTTGGATCCAAGTTGGATCCCCGGTACAAAGAAAAAAAAAAAAAAGAAGTTAGACCTAGCCGGGCGTGGTGGTACATTCCCATAATTCCAGCCCTTGGGAGGCTGAGGTGGGAGAGTCTCGGCTTTGAGGTCAGCTTGGGCTACATACTGACTTTGAGACTAGCCTGAGCTATAGTGAGACCCTGTGTCTACAAAAAATTAAATGTGTAATAATTGTATCTGATTTTTTAAAAATTTCATTTCTAAGTTAAGACTCTCAGGTGTGTAGCATCTGCCTTTGTTGCTGTAGCAAATGTCAGTTCAGCTTTTTAGACGATTTAAAATGTGTTATTTTATAGTTCCATGGGTAAGAAGTTTGATAGGGGTCTCCCTGGGCTAGAATCATGGTGTTGGCTGGTCTAGAAGCTCCAGGGGCAGTTTTTTGCCTTGTTTGGCTCTAGAGACTGCTTCCATGCTTGGCAGTAGACATTCTGTGTACAGCCAGCAGGGTCCCTGTCATCTCTTAGAATGACTTATGATTCGTTGGGCACGTGCAGTTAATCCAAGGTAATCTGCCACCTTGGCGCCCCCCAGCCTTGGTTACGTCTCTGAAGTACTTTTCTGGTGGATGCTAATTAGTCACTTGTTCCGAGGTGGGTGTTGCCGGTGTGGCCACTGTTCTGCCTGTTGCATCATTGAATGTGACACTTCATGTTCTGTGAAAACATACTTTATAACCTTGGGAGAGAGGTGGAGGAATAGCCTTTCTCTAGACTATGTGCTCTGGTTGGAGTATCTTTTGAATAGCTAGTCTTGTGGTTTTTCTCAGCTTGAGAGAGAATATAAAAAATGTGTTAAATGGCTAGTTTTAAAATTTCATTTCTGGAGAAATGTGTTGAGAGCAATATATGAATGACATGATTGGAGTTTTAAAGAAGTGTGGAGTTTTCTAAGTAGACAGTTTAAAGTAGCCATTGTTCTTACGGCACAGTGTGGAAAATAGTATTTCAGTTACATTTTTGCCACAGTCATATACCATAATGTGATTTTTTTTCCTCCTCTAGTCTACAAAAACTTTCAATATTATGAATACATTTTTAGGCCCATGGCTGGAAAAAAAAGAACAACAGTAGAGCTGCCAGGTACCTTGAAAGCAGCTGGAAGAGACAATGTAAGGAGCTGGTGAGCCTGATTTTCCAGTGTGAGGATTCTGAGCCATTTAGACAGCCTGTGGATCTGGTGGAGTACCCAGTAAGTCTCTGTCGCCTCATTGCGGGGAAGTGGAGACTGGGGTAGAGCTATGTAATTAAAGAGTAGGGTGTCTAGGCTTTATGCCAGCATTTTCCCACTAAGTTAACTGTAGAAGAATAGATTATTCATAGCTCATTTAAAGACTTAGACTTAATTAACCAGTATTACATAATGGTGGGGGGTTGGTCTGCATGGCTGTGTATAGGCTTAGCACTAGGAAAACTGAAAATTAGATAAAATTTACTCTGGAAATAGAAGAATTAGGTCTAAAAAGGAAAAAAAGATTATAAAAACACAGATTTACTGTTAGAAGCTTGGAAATTATAGAAAAGTGCCTGCTCCCAGGAGACATTACTGTTTTGATACATTTCTTCCTACTTTGTTTTGTTGGGACCTCTTTTCAAACTTTATTTCTGAATCTTTACGATCCTTCTAATTTGTTTTCTCTTCCGTCATTTCAAATATTTTAGAGACTTTACTTACATGGTTTTTGAAAGAAAACTCATCTATGAATTAATTATTAATTATTTTTAAAACCTAGGACTACCGAGATATTATAGATACACCAATGGATTTTGGAACAGTGAGGGAAACTCTAGAAGCAGGAAATTATGACAGCCCTTTGGAATTTTGCAAAGACATCCGATTGATATTTAGCAATGCCAGAGCATATACACCGAACAAAAGATCAAAGGTAATTTGTTAAATGGCTTGTTTAAAAAAATGTATGAGCATGTATTTTCACATTTGTGGGTAGAGGTTGGAACATTAAAAGTAAGGGAATTAAGTGAGACTGCTATAGAGAATGGTGACATTGCCTATCGCTGCAGTTTTTGCCTTACAGCAATTGATGTTTATCCTCTCCCAAAATTTTCTAGACAAAGATTAGTGAGAATGAAGACACCAGTAGAAAATGAACAAATTTAATACATGGAATGAGAAGAGTCTGTTATTTATACATACAAGCTTCTTTAAAAATGTATTTGAAATATCAGTAGACATTAGAATATTGAAAGTGATAAAAATAAAACAGCTTTGCCTGGTGATAGATGCCTGTATTCCTGGCTACTCAGGAGACTGAGGCAAGAAGAGGGAAAGTTTGAGGCTACCCTGAGCAATTTAGTTGGATCCTGTCCAAAAAAAAGAGAAAGGGCTGGAGGTGTATAGCTCAGTGCTGCCTGGGTTCAATTCCTAGGAGCACAAAAGAAAAAAAAGTGATAAAAGGAAAACCTAAGTGCGGTTGGGCCTGATGACTGCACACTCACAGTTTGGATCTGAAGTGACACATGAACTGTGTCATTGTTCAAGAACACGAATAGAGAGCACAGTCCTCAATTTTTGTGAAACGATTTATGTTGGTTAGTCTTTCAGTTCTTGTTGAGGTGTAATAAATAGCAAAGGTTCCTATATCACATTCTTAGTGAATTTTCCTGAACATCACCTTCATAGCCATTATGAGGAATAATTACAAATAATATAAGGTAAAATTTAAAGTAAAACCCTTGCTTGATCCTCCCCAGCGTTTCTGTGTCTGCATTACCTGTACTGCACCTTGGCCTCCTTACTTTCCTACCTGGCTCCTCCTGGATGCTGCCTCCAGGCTCAGTGTGCACAGTCTTGCTGCATTTGATGTCCTGTTTGCTTATTGGATCAGGTTAACATTCAAGTTGAATATTTTTCCAAGCTTGGATTTTTTTGTCATGTTCATTGTTTGTAAGACTGTTTCTTTCCAGAGAGAAAATAAATTTTCATTTTTATCTTTTCCCTTTTTTAGGAAATACATATTTGGAATGCATGTCATAAATAATACATCCATTTAAAGTGTGCAGTTCAGTGGTCTTTGGTATATTCAAAATTTTTAAATTGTGATTAAATACATGATAAAATATACCATTTTAACTATTTTTAAATTTATAATTCAGTCACATTAATTAGTTAAACTTTTTCATCATCCCAAGCAGAAACTCTGTCACCATTAAATAATGGTTCAACATCTCCCTCCTCTTACCCTTGGTAACTTCTAGTCCACTTCCTGCTTTTATAAATTTGCCTAGGCTAAATGTTCACACAGGCTTCTAGCTCATACTGTATTTGACCTTTTGTGTTGCATATTTTACCAAACATAATGTTTTAGAGGGCTGGGGATTTAGCTCAGTTGTTTCGCTGCCTGCTGCGCAAGTGCAAGGTCCAGAGTTCGATCCCCGTACCAAAAAAAAAACCCTCAAAAACATAATATCTTAGAAATTCATCCACATTGTAACATGTGTCTGAATTCCATTCCTTTTTATTACTACATAACTTTCCATTGTATGGATAAATGGCTGTAACACATCTTATTTATCCATTCTTCTCTTGATGGAAAGTTGGATTGTTTCTACTTTTTGGCCATTATAAATAACGTCACAGTGACTTTTGAAATACAGATATCTGAGTCCATGCTCTCAAGTCCTTTAGGTATATACCTGACAGCATGAGGTAATTCAGGAACCAATAAAATGCTTTCCGTAATGCCCACACCATCTTATATTCCTACTAGCATTTGAAGAGTTCTCATTTTCCTACATCCTTGCGAACATTTATTCTTTTTAATTGTAGCCATCTGAGTGAGGTTTTTACCTAGTTGTGGGGTCTTGATTTTCTTACAACTTACTGTGTTAATAAATGTACCTGAGATCTGTTTTAATCAGGAATAAGTCCTGCAGACTTAGAAAAGGTTGTCATGAAGGAGCAAGTTTATCTGACCTAGAAGCAGGAGACTTGGCACACCATGCATGGGCAACCAGGGCAGGGTAAAGGAGAGCAGCTATCAAAATGCAGGCAGGGCAGAGGATGCAGTGTAGGATGTAGGGAACGGGAAGGGGACGTTACCAGAACCTCTGCAGTAAGTCCTAGTCTCCTGCGAGCCACGGCAGCACACGGCGAATTATAGGAAAGGTAGACGAATGAGACTGAGAAGAAGCTGAGCTTTGGGTCTGATCAGTGCTGCTCTGGGCAGTAAAGACAAAAACCGCTAGCTTGCAGCACCTTTTATTCAGTACATGGGGAAACAGATGTAACAAGTGAAAATGCAGAGTTCAGTACTTTACTTTGGGATAAACAAGGTGTAACAAGACTGGGGGGCAGTGGAAATCTGAGAACAATAAGGAACTATGCAGATGAAGATTTGGTTCCTCCCTGGCATCTCCCGCAGGTGTGGTCTTGTCCTGGAGATTAACAGCATGGCAGGATCACTGAGGTCTCAGTTGTGACCCTAGGCCAAAATGCAATTATGTCTGGAATGTCGTAGCTGGCCTGTAGGCTGGAGAACTAGACCTACTCAAATGATTTTTCCCTAGAATTATGTAGCATTGCTCCCGACAGTAGGATTAACCAGTTTAAATAGTGTCGGCAAGCTTTGAGATATTGGAGATCGTCTCTCATTTTTTGGTATCTGGATCTGGGATTCTTTATGGTGGGGATAATATTGACTGTTTTTAGAGTTTGAAAAAGGGAATGGCTGGGGGTGTGGGCTCTGGATTGGCTGGTTTATATATCACCAGGAAATTGTTTACTATCTCTAGGGATTAGCTAGCTCTGGGAAACAATTTAGCATCATGGCCCCATATGCTAGAGCATTAAAAGTACAGGAAATGGAGCCAGGAATGGTGACTCACACCTGTAATTCCAGCTACTTAGGAGGCTGCGGCAGGAGGATTGCAAGTTCAGGCCAGCCTGGGCAAGTTAGTAAGACCTTGTCTCAAAAATAAAAAACAAAAGGGGCTGGGATGTAGCTCCATGCCAGAGGGCCCTTAAGCTCAAACTCGTACTGTAGTAGATGCGGTGGGGGCAGTGCAGCAAATGTGAAAATTTACTCAGTTGTAGTCAATATTCTAAGGGTGTTTAGCGTGTTTTCATGGTTTATTGGCTCTTTGTATATCTTCTTAAAACTATCTGGTCAAGTCCTTTGCTCATTTAAAAAAGTGCATTCTTTGTTGAGTATAGTTCTTTTTTGTTTATTTGTTTTTTTGAGACAAGGTCTCACTGTGTAGTTCAGGCTGGCCTTGAGCTCACTGTGTAGTCCAGGCTGGCCTCGAACTCGAGACAACTCTCCTGCCTCAGCCTCATGAGTGCTGGGATTACAGACATGCACCACCACACCCGGCAAGTGTAGTTCTTCTATATGTTCTGGATATTAAACCTTTATGAGATATATAGATTGTCTTTTTACTGTGTCAGTGATATCCTTTGATTCACAAAAGTTTTGAATTTTGGTGAAGTCCAGTTTATTTGTATTTTCTTTTGTTTTTCATGCAAGCATCCTGTCTCATCCCTAACCTTGTTCCATCCATTTGTGTGTGATGTTAGCTGTGGGTTTCCATGAATGCCCTTGTCATGTTGAGATGGTTGTCAGTTTTAGCACTCTTTTTGGTTAATTACTATTTAGGATGAGTTGTATTACTGAATTCTGTGTGAAAACTAATAAAATAAAAATGGTGAAAATGAGAGGTTTCAAACAAAATAATTTACAAGAAATTCATCTTGTTAAAATTGGCAACATAAGCTAGTATTCAGGTTTGAAAGAAAAGAGTAAATTTATAAAATATTGGAAGTGATTGCCAAAGCATTTCAAAGATGAAATGTGATAAATTTGACATTTTGAGAGGGGTGCGTGTGAAATTCATCTGTGTGAGATGACTTAAAAATACGGTGAATATTTCAATTAAAAAATTATTACAGTAAAAGTCCTGTTGCCATTAATTCCCCTCAGAATACCCTCTCTTGCTTCAAACACAGTTATCTCATCGTCATCACCACTTTCTCCAGCAGCTCTGTAAGTCTCTTGCGTGGGTGCCTTTAGGTGTGAATCCCAGTTAGGGCTGGATGGCATCCCAGTCCAGGTGCAGAGAGACTGGGGTGAAAGCCTCTGTTCTCTTGCTCCAGAGACTCTCACTTTGCTGCCTAAATAGCAGCCATAAAGCCAACTGACTTCCAGATTACCTTTAGAAGGGTATGTTTTTGGGTTTGTACATGCAGATGTGAAAATGGGAAACCCAACTGAGATCCATTAATATATAGACATAAGGCCTGGATTCCAGATCCTAGAGAGTAGCTTGATTTAAAACTCCCTTCTTACCACCTGACGTACATAGTTGCTATCTCCCCTTGTCTTGGAAGGAACAGGATGGAAATAGATAAGCTATTATTCATAGTCAGCGATGTATTGCAAATAATCTCTGATATAATTAAAAAATACTTTAAAAGATACTATGTAATTCTAGCTTTGTTTTCACATCCTTGCAGATTTACAGTATGACCTTGAGATTGTCTGCTTTATTTGAAGAGAAAATGAAGAAAATTTCTTCTGATTTTAAAATTGGTCAAAAATTCAATGAAAAACTTCGACGAAGCCAGAGATTCAAGCAAAGACAAAATTGTAATGGTGTTGTTCAGGCCAACAAAAGTATGAGGTAAATTGGTCATAACCATAGCAGGCTCTGCACACTACAAATTTGTAGTCTTTTTTTTACAGTACTGTGTATTCAGAGAAGACTAGTCGTAGATTTTTATAGCTAAAAGCATTTTCATGAATATAGAGCTGTTACACTGATACGTAATTTTGTAAATTCATTTATTTGTCTTGTATAAGAGATGGCTTTTTAATGTAGGGAGTAAAATGATTATTATGCATGCCTTTGTGCATTTAATTTATAGGGGAAGAAGCTTTATTAAATATACCTCTTTATTTGTGAGGATTAATTGTATAGAAAAAGTATGAAACGAAGGGCTCATTCCTCTTACCAGTTATTTTATATTTAAATTCTGTCGTCTTTGACTACATTCCTTACATTAGTGTCAAATTTGAGGTAAAGTATCGCAGTGTGAAAATTAAGGTGTGCAGTTTTGAGTTTGTTCCCATGTGTGTTTTGAATGTGCAGTATACTCTTGATGGTTTTTCTTTGTGGTTGGTCTGGGGATTGTGCTGCATCTCAATTCACAAGTCTTATTTCATATTAATAATGCCGTTTTTAATCTCACTGCATTTAGAAACTGGTCTAGTACAGCTACCCTTTATTCTCCCTTGTGTGTGCTGTTGTTGTCATAGAGGTCACATCTTTGTATGGTCTGTTTTAGTTTTAAGAGTAAAAAAGTTATTTATGCTGCTTTTTATTTTATATAATCAACATTCCCACTTACAAAAGTGTAGGTTTGAGTTACTCTGCAGTAACATTTTTTTCCAGCCTAGAGGACTTTTTTTCACATTTCTCATAAGGCAGAAGGGTTACAGTGAATTTGCTCAGTCTTTGCATATCTGTTGGTATCTTAATTTACCTATATCATCAGAGAACATTTTTGATGCATATAGAATTCTTTTTTGTTGTTTGTTTGGTTTTTTTTGGTACCCGGGATCGAACTTGGGTCCTTGCACTTGTGAGGCAGGCGGCGGAACCACTGAGCTAAATCCCCAGCCCTAGAATTCTTAATTGACATGTTAGCCATCAGCATTTTATTTTTATTTATTTTTTATTTTTATTTTTTATGGTACTGGGGATCGAACTGCTATCAGCATTTTAGATGTGCCATCTCACTGCCTGCTGACTCCATTATTTTTGAAGAGAAGTTAGATATCAATCTTACTAAGGTTCCTTCCTTCTATACGTTGAATTTTATTTGTCTTTACCTTTGTAAAGACAAAGTATTGACTGTAGTATTTGTATGTTTGTTCTTTGAGTATATTCTACTTTGAATTAATCCAGCTTTGTGGATGTGTAATGATTTTCATCATATTTGAGAGGTTTTTGGCCACTGTTTCTTCAAATATTTCTTTTTGCACCTTTTTCCCTTCCTTTTTTGAGATTCCCATTTCATAGAGTACCAAAAAATGGACTCCCAAAGGTTTCTGAGGCTCTCTTCATTTTTCTTCATTATATTTCCATTCCTCAGATTGGATAATCTTTAGTGATATGCCTTCCAGTTTCCTGATGCATCTGTCAGCCCACATCCTGCTGCTCAGCCTGAATATTCATCTCAGTTATTGTACATTTCACTCTGGAATTTCTCTTTGGATTGTTTTCTTTTTTTTTGGATTGTTTTCATATTATTTATCTCTTTATTGATATTCTGTATTTGATGAGTCGTTGTTATAACTTTTTAGTTCTGTAAACATTTCCTTTAGTTCTTCAATTTGTAGAATAGTTGATTTCATTGTCAACACTTGTTAAACCTACTGTGCTGTTATTCTAAGCACCTAGGGTCAGGGATATACGGTGTGCTTGTGGTTCAGATCTAGAATACTCCCCAAAAGACTCATGTGCTCATAGGTGGGGCTTTTCAGAAGTCTGACAACTGGGTCCTCTCAGAGGCAGTTTCCATTGGATGTAATTCCCCCTCTGTGAGTGGACTGCCTTTTCTTGTTTCTTTTTCTTGTAATTTTTTTGTTGTTGTTGAAAACTGTACACATATTGAGTTAGTATGGCAACTCTGGAAAACCATGCAATATTTTGTTAGGATATTGTATGTAGCAGCTGTGGGGGTTCTGATCCCTTTTCCTCAGTGGTGGAGTTTTCTATTTTTGTTGTTTGTTTTGTTCAATGATTTGGATGTACTAATTTGTGCAGTGTCTTTCTTACAATATGCAGCCACTGAAGTCTTTGCCTTTCCCTGATTCTCACGAAATGTCAGGTAAAAGGGCCGAAGACCAAGACCAGACCAGGCCACAACAAGCCTTTATTAGGGGAATAGATCAGCCAAGGATGTGTAACCCAGGATCTAATCTGCTCTAACTTAGGGTCAGAAGTTTTCTTGAATAAGTGCTTTTCAATTTGTTTTATGGCTTTGGTTAATTTCAGAAGTTATGAATAGTTTTGATACTTTTGCTCATTTTATTTTTGCTTTTTGGGAGAGAAGATTTGGTCACTGTCTCAGCGACTTCATTGCCAAGACAAAATAACTGACACCCACAGCTTAAGGAGAGGCTTATTTTGGCTTCCAGGGCAGGAAGTCATGGTGGAAAGGTTGCATGGAGACGTGCTCACATCATAGTGGCCAGGAAGCAGAGAGAGAAGGGAGGGCCCGACGAGGGAGACAGACCCTTCTGGGTCACCCCTCCTGTGTCCCACCCCACCAGGCCCCACCTCCTAACAGCAAATCAGCTGTAGTGCCCCCATGACCAGTCACCTTCTGAAAATCCCCACCTGTGAGCACATGACTCTTTTGGGGAGTATTCTAGATCTGAACCATAAGCATGCCATATATCTCTGCCCCCGGGTGCTTAGAATAACAGCAGTAAGACAGATAAACATACCCATTAGGTCAGGGACTTAATTCTGTTCAGTTGCTTTGCAACTTGTAATTCAAGCATATACATTCCATACAAAGTAGTATGTAAGCCTTCTCTCACCTCTTTTTTAAACTTTTCATTTTGAAATAAATTCAGAATTGCATAGAAATTGACGATAATTCAAAAAGTCCTTATATAGTCTTTCCTTAGATTGACACCAGTTGTTCCCATTACGCCACAATTGCTTCTTTGTTAATAGCCATATAGTACTTAATGATGGGGTTACATCCTGAGAAAATCATCACTAGATGATTTTGTCATTTTGCAAAAATCAGAGGGTACTTGAACAGACTAAATGTTATGTTAAATATTTTTTCTTTGTTCATGTCCTTGACCAGAAATATCAAGCAGAAACGGTTAAAATCTCAGCCAAAATTAATTCCTGAGGTGGAAGATTCGCCTACTCAGTCAACCTCAAGTAGGGCAGCTCACTCTGCCACATGCAAGACAAGTGCTGGTGTGTCTTCAGGTGTTACATCTGGGGACTCTTCAGATTCAGTAGGATCGCTGGAGAGGACGAGAAGAAATAGACCTGTAACTCTGCGAAATGATTCTCTGCTATCTGGTGAGAGGAAGAACATTATGTTGAGCACTAGACTGTGGGGTTATAGAAAAACATAATAAAGACATAGCCTGACAAGTAAAGGAGCTTACAATTTAGTAGACGAGACAGAAATAATAAACATGGAACAATTGGAATTTATTTGATAAGAACTGTGTTCTGCACACGGTGTGGGAGCATTTTATGAAGATTTTGAATCCTTCAAATTAAACAGTTAAATGTCCACCACACTTCATGTGCAAAATTTGACATTTTTTTGTATCGTTTTAAATTAAACTACCGATAGGTAAGTTCAATGCTGGTGATCTGGTAAATTCTAAACTTTTTATGCCATGGCCATTTAGTAGTGTAACTGTAACCGATGGTGAGTAGGTTGTGGTGATGACTTCTGTATTGTACTGAGTGATTCTGGTGACTTGTGGTAGTATGTTATTTATGAGTATAACTTAATGTTTTTTGCATGTCTTATTCCACTATTTTCATTAAGTGATATGACAGTACATCTGTAGATAAAATTTTGGAATTGTACAGTGCTATGTAAGAAGTCAGACAAGCTGGTACTTGCCATATTAGCATTATACAATGTCTTCAGGGTTCCATTTAGAGTGTAAAATGTCCTATCACAATGTAGTGCAATCATTGCAAATGACTAGGAAAAAGGGATCATTTCTCAAGCAGGAGCATTTAGTAAAGCAGTGGTAGGGAAAAAAAAAAAAGGTGCGTTTGGGACTGTGAAAAGACTGCATTTTGGGAAATGAGAGAAAGAATTACGATCAAACACATAGAGTGCACCCAAATTTTGGAGATGTCAGGCTTGCAGAAGAGTTTGGGTTGTTGGAGCCTGCTGCTCAGGAAGACTAAGCAGTTTGGCAGGCGAGGAGCCAGGGAGCAGGGAGGCCGGCCAGGGGCTGGTGCTGGGGTTGAGGCGAGAAGGCAGCTGCCATCTCAAGGGAAGAAGCACCACCTGGTGTTGCTGTCCTTCTCACACAGCTGCTTTCTTCTCTTGCTCAGAGTTGACTTAGTTATGGGCCAACACTTTTTCTTTTAACAATATGTTTCGACTGTTTTGATGAAATTTTTATTTATCAAAATAGATTATAGGCATTTAAGAAATGTCTGGATAAAAAAACAGGAAACTTACAGTTCTTGTCTTGTGCTCACACTGGTGCATGCATTTATGAAGTAGAATAGTGGGGAAAATCACCTAAGCTATTTAAATTGTTTCTTTACACACCCCGCTGTGTGTGTGTGAGTCTTTGTAGGGCACCTAGAAATGACCTTTCTTGAGCTGAGTGCATGTGTGATATAACTGTGCTATCAGGAACAGCTAGAAAGAGACTGGTACTACCTTGTGACATGAAAGGACTCAAAATGAATGTGTCTTTTCTCTCTGAAATACCTGTCTGAGATCATAGAAAGAAGATGTGAGTGGGGCCAATTAGGTTTTTTTTTTTTGGTACTGGGGAAAGAAAAGCCCAATTAGGTTTTTAAGTGGAAGTTTATTTATAATTTTCTAAAGTATTTTCTGAATGTATTCCCAAATTATTGTTATTTTTAGAAATATGAGTTCAAACTTGGTTTGGAATACTAATTATATACCTTTTAATGTCAAAATTGTGTCAGCTTTCTTTGAAACTGCTTTTAAAGAAAATACTAAGTATTTTAAAAATCTGTTTTTATTATAATGTTATGAAAGAACTGCCTGCTTGTGTATGTACACATAGAAGAATGTATGTAATTAACTACTTACACTTCTATTTTCCTTAGAAAGTGAAATGGAAGATTCCTTAGCTACCTCTTCATCCTCTTCCTCTTTCAATAGTTCAGAGGAAAGCAAAGAGAGTTCGAGAGCACGAGAGTCCTCGCGTGGCGGGCTGTCCAGAAGCGGCAGCCGCAGGGTAACCAGGACTCGAGCTGCTCAGAGGAGAGCTGGTAAGAGACTCTGTGATGATGTGTGGATTATTTAAATCATCCTGGCATGACTAAAGAATGGGCTTTTTAGATTTTGGAAGGAAATCAATTTGGCATTAAAAAATAAGGGTAGTCACTGAAATAAAGTCATTTAGAATACTGAAATAAAAAAGCCTTTCTAATCTTACTGCTACTTTATTTCTAGGTCCTCTTGCCTTAGAAAATGGATGTGGCAGAAAAGCCACTCGAAAAAGAATCTATTTAAGTGATTCTGATAACAATTCACTGGAGACCAGTAAAATTCTAAAAGCCAGAGCTGGTAATAACCGAAAAGTCCTACGAAAGTGTGCTGCTGTGGCTGCCAATAAGATAAAATTAATGAGTGATGTAGAAGAAAATTCTAGCTCTGAAAGTGTGTGCTCTGGTCGGAAGCTGCCTCACCGCAATGCTTCCGCTGTAGCTAGAAAGAAGTTACTACACAATTCTGAAGATGATCAGAGCCTAAAGTCAGATATGGAAGAAGAAGAGCTAAAGGGTCAGACTCCACTGGTGCCAGCGTCTGGTTCTCATGTTCCCCAGAATACGGGCAGTGAACCTGAAGATGGAGATTCTGAATCAGAAAGTGATTTGCGAGTAGCCCGGAAAAATTGGCATGCTAATGGTTGTAAGTCGCATACTCCCGCAAGTTCCAAAACCAAATTTCCTAAGATAGAGTCTTCTGAGGAAGATTCTAAGAGTCCTGAATCAGATAATGGGCACAGCAGAACTGCTGGTCCTTCACCTTCGGAGAGGAAAGCTAAGCCAGAGAGCATCTCAGAGGAAGCAGACTCTGAACCAGGAAACAAGGCATTTTGCAAGAATGCAAATTTCTTTAAGAAAACAAAGATCTTAAGTGATTCCGAAGACTCAGAATCCGAAGAGCAAGACAGAGACGAGGACATGCGTCACAAAATGGAAACGAGCCCAGTTACAGGAAACTTGAAATGTGAGCCTGTTGCTGGGTCTCAGTGCGTCTCAGATTATGTATCCGAAACTGATTTAGATTCAGGTGATGACAAAACAAAAGAAAAACCAAACAATTTTATGAAAGGTAATTTAAAACATTTACCTTGGTTCCTGATTTAATCACACTGACCTTTTTCCCTGATTGCAAACACTGATTTTATTTCCTCTTGCAGTTTCTCTTTGTTAGCCTTTTCTCTCTACCCTACATATACTGCTAGCCTTTTCTGTTCACCCCATGCATAATTTGTATTGCATACTTGGTTTCATTCAGCTAATAGTAGGCTTGGCCTTAACAATGGTCCCTGTTAAAGAGTTACTTCTGGTATTGGTGATGGAGACGTTGTATTGGGAGTTAGTCTTGGGGAAAGCAGAGACAAGCACACACTAAGCCAAGCCGTGGTAGTGACAGCTTGAGAAGAGGAAGAATGGGTAGGACTTTTTGCTTAATTAGTAATAATTATAACGGCTAACAGCACAGTTACTGAGTTATGTCAGGACGTTTTTCTAATCACTTTACACTATTTTTTTTTTTTTTTTTGGTACTGGGGATCGAACTTGGGTCCTTGCGCTTGCACAGCAGGCAGCCAAACCACTGAACTAAATCCCTGGCCCCTCACTTTACACTATTAACCTAAAAAAGTTTAGTCATGTCTTTTATGAGGTAAGTACTATTATATACTCTTCTGTTGTTGGTTTTCATGGTACTGGGGATTGAACCCGGGGCCTTCTCACTGAGCTACAACCCCAGCCCATTTTTAATGTATTTTGAGACATTTTCACTAAGTTGCCTGAGGCTGGGCTTGAACTTGGGATCCTCCTGCCTCAGCCTCCCAGAGTGATAGGATGACAGGCCTGTGGCACCAGGCCTGGCTTCACTGTCCATTTTACATGTAACAGCTGTGGAGCCCACAGTGGTAAAATAACCACTGAATTAATATCATCCTCCAGGTAAATGGGGATTAATAGAAAAGCAGAAAGCAGCTAAAGCTAAGATTAAAAGTGGTATGAATGAAATTTGTGGAACTAGGGTTGATTTCATGGGGACTGAGAGTTAATGGTTGGTTTGCTCACCTTAGTGCAGTGAATGGGGTTTAGTCTGCATTCCTGCTAACACTGCCGTTTCCAGAGTCTGGAATGTTACTGGTGAGAATGTGCTGTACTTGTGAAGGGTGCTGAAAGTGGAAAAAGTCACTTTAAAGTATTAAGAGGGCATTGGCCCTCCCAAGTTAATAATTCTGGATTTAAGTTGTTTCAAATAGTGAACACTTAATTCCTTTAGATTACTCTTTTATTAAAGATTAAAAGAATAATCTTTAATTTTTAGATTCTACATCACAAGACAGTGCTCAGAGCAGAAAAGTTTCCAGGAAAAGGGTCTGCTCCAGTGACTCAGAGAGCAACGTGAAAGCAACCAAGAAACCACCACAGGCCACAGCAGGTCGCCTAAGGCTTACTCAGAGCAGTGCAGCTGCAGCTGCCAGTAAAACGAAGCTCATTAGCACTGCCGAAAATGTCAGCTTAGAAAATGTGTGCACTAGGAGGAGAGGTGGACGGAAAAAAGTGCTCCAGGTTGCTGGTCCCACAGCTAGGAAGCCAGCGAGTGGTGGTGAGGAAGATGTGAACGGGGCAGCGCCAGATGAGCAGTGTGCCTGCCCAGGTACGCCGCCTGCCCCTGCCTCTACAGGCAGTGCGGAGCATGCCAGCCAGCCTTTAAAGGGAGACTCGGACTTGGAAGGCACTTGGAATCCAGACCATGTGAACAGGCTTCCCAGCAGTAACACAGATGCACCTTCTAAAACGGAGAATTCCCCCAGTGGGTCTTCAGAAGAAGAGTCGCAAAGCCGTGCTCCAGGGAGGGAGATGGGTAGAAAACTTTCTTCTGAGTCAGCTTCGGCACAAAAAGCTACTGCAGAGAACACCTTTGAAGAGGAGCTGAATTATGGGCTCCGCAGGTGGAATGGCAGAAGACTCAGGACGTATGGAAAGGCTCCTTTCAGCAAGTCCAAAGTGCTTGCTGATTCACAGGCACCAGTGGAGATGGAGATAAAAAGGAAGAGACTGCGTCCTGAATTAGAAAATGTGCAGATGTCTAGAACACCTGGGTGCTCACAGCATGCACCCAGCACCAGTCCCAAGCCGTCAGATTTGGGATCTGTAACTGAGTCAGATGTTGACTGTGCCAATAACGCAAGAGGCAAAAGGAGGCAAGCTAGAGGAAGAGCAAGAGTAGTTAGAAAAGGTAAAACTTCTACAGCTAACCTTTCTAAAGCTGTGAGGCATCGAAGACAAAGCAAACGTCCTAGGTTAAGTGTGGATGATAATGACTGGGAGGATTTGGACTATGCAAAATCTAAAAGAGTTCTTCGACGCTCAAAAATAAAAACGAGAAATCAGGGTAGAAGGACTGTGAGATACCATGATGGAGATGATGATAGAACCTTAGAAAATGTGTTAGAGTTCAATGATTGCACCTTATGACCTTGAGGGAATGCCAGTTATTTAAAGAGAAAATGGACTGGAATTTGGTGAAAGCTGGCTGATGAAATTACTTCATCTTAAAATTCAGGGAATATATTTATATTTTTCTATGAAAAGTTATGATTGTGACTAAATCATGACTGTTATTTTTATTTGCACTTGCTGGTCTTTGTAGCAGCATTCAGCACAGGTGCCAAAATATGCTTCATTTTGGGGGCAGATCTACTTTAATAATATTTGACTACGTATAGCAAGTTTAAAATATGTTAAACACTAGACATCCTGGTTATGAAAACCAGTGAGCATTACTTTCCTGGTAGCAATGGTCGTACAGTTCTTTTTCTGAATTTATCCAGAGGTGGTAGTTTCTAAACCCCATCCTTTAGGAGAACAATTTTACCTGAGCTGTTTACAGATTCTCCATACTTATTATATGCATATTGACATTATAATCATGGGAAGTGTGACCATGATTAGCAGCCAAGGCACCAACACTCCCTGCCTGTACCCCTTCCCTGGCTACTTGAGGACATTGCGTTTACCAGATTTGGTCATTTTCATTGAAATGGTTTCCAGTTTTCTTCCCAAATGCCATTGGTCTTTTCTTTTTAAGGAAAACATGATGACTTTTATATTATAAACTTGAATTTGTAAAATGTTAGTAAATTATTTTCAATGCTTGAGTGCATATTCAAAGCTCGAAGGCCAGAGCAGAGTCATTTGTAGCATTTCCTTTCATATTGTGCACTAACAAGATGCTATATCATTTTGTCTTCTGTCCAAAGTCTCCTGACTTTCATTGTGATTTAACCAAAATTTTGCTTTTCCATAATCTTACTCTGAAATAGAGGAGTTTGTGTGCCTTAGATTTAGGGAAAGTGTGTTGTTAAATAGGGTAATACAGGGCTAAAAGAGTGTGTAAGTGTATATAGATTTCCCCCATCTGTATTAAAATTATAGAGTTGAGTTTTACTAAGAGTGCAATTGCAAATCTTACCTGCATAGGAAAATAGTTCAATGTCATTTTCCATCTTTTTGTTTTCACTTACTGCTGCCAGGTGCAATTTTAAGTGTTCTTTGCTGGGGCAACTAAGTATATCTTTATTAGTGGCCTCTAGTCTCAATGTGAGAAGAAACTGTCATGTTTTGTGGTAAAATAATTTAGGAATCCAGTTAAAGTGAAACTTTTTATCACCCCAAGTACCTATAGTACACTTATTTTTGAGCCAAATACAGTAAGTACTTTTACTTGATAGCTTACGCTACTCTGAACAGTATAAGTGGCCATTCCTAACTTGTTTGTGCCTGAAATGGTTTACATATTTTCCAGTTAAAGAGTAAGTTACAGTATTGCACCATTAAGTTATTTATTAGCCCTAACTGTGTTTGGTTTTAGACAAAGTTAACCCTTTTTTCCTTTTTCCTTGAGGTGGCAGGTAGGAAAAGCATCTGACTCTGCTATCAGTGTTAGAGAATGATCCTAAGTGTTCCTACCTTTAAGTTAGCTATTTCATTTGACATGGTAGGAGGTACCTTTGATTCTTACTCTGACATAGGGAAGGTGCTTTTGGACATTTCCGGCTGAGATAGGCAGGATGCCTGCGTGTCATTTGATGGTTTAGAGAGCCCTGTTATCACATGGCCAAATAATGATGCTTTTCTTCTCAGCTCTCTTGTTAAGTGGACAATAGGCAGGCTGATTCAGTGTAATTATCTCAACTGTTCACCTGAAAAAATTCATGGGATGCCTTGTACATGCATCCCTAAGTTTTAAGAAATGGTGATAGTCGTCATATCCATTAATTTATTTTAACTTCTTCCTAAGCCTTTCAGCTTTGTATCTGTTCTCAGGGTTATAACTGCATGTTACCATCATCTGCAAAAAGGTACCAAAAATCCATAAATAAATACGAAATACATTAATACGTACATAAATTCCTTTTGTAAACCAGTCTTTGACAGTTTAGGCTTCATTTATAGAACTGTTCTCGTTCTCTGGACTGAACTAAGTTGTTATGGACTGACTGGTTATCCAATTATCGATTTTTCTTTTTGTCCATACTGCTGAGACTTTTGTGTATAGATGCAGTGTTTTGGCTTAGATTTAGTTTCATCAGGAAAAGTAAGAATGGGCCTGTGACTGTAAAAGTGTGGCTGACAGTGGTAGCTTCTCAGCTTCTGAAGGAAAACTAAGGGCTTTGGGAGAAAAGCATTTTTATGTGTTTTTGTTTTTGTTTTTTGGTTATGGTGCTATTCTTAAGGTTAACTTTGAATATGTGACACACACTCCTAAGTACCTTTAAGGAATATTAGTAATAGTTAAAATGTTTACATTGAGCACTAGAACATATTTGACTGTTTTCTACTTCATGCGAAATACGCAGGGATTTAATGCACAGATGTACTTTAATGTTTAGGGTCAGAAGAAGACAGAAGTGGGTTTCAAAGTGAATGTGAACTGGTCCAGAAAGAAGTGCTATAGCTTTCCATTGCACTTGAAGTAACTTAATGATGTATATGAAAAAAACAAAAAGGCTTTTTTTTAACTGTGGTTGTATAAAAGTCCTATGATTTTACTCATTTATAATTTTTTAAAAAATGTTTTGAAGTAGATTTGATTTTTACTTCCTTTCAAAGATTAATTTTACCCAAGCATATTAAGAGAAAAAATTCAAACATTTAAAATAGATAAAGTTTAAGAAGTATTTTTTTCTTCCCATATCCTACTTATTTAAAATGGGTGTACTGACAATATGTAACTTCTGAATAAAAGGAAATTTTATCCCATTTTCAGATTATTCCTAGGGTGGTCATTCTTTCTCTTGCCTTAACTAGTGAAATATTTGATTTATTTTCAGTTGAAGTTATTTTCAATTTAGTAATCCTTGAAAACAATGATAAAGTAATTATTTGGCTTAAAGGTACAACACAAAGTTTTCTTTCAAATAGAGTTACATGAAAAAAATTGAGTTTTATTAAGAAAATGGAAAGAAAGACATTTTAGGAAAGGACACTTCAAAACCTAGAAGTACAAGTGGGAAAAGGGTTATAAAACAAACCAATAAAAGAATATCTGAGGGATATTACATCTAGAAATTAACAAGATCCATCAACAAGCCCTTCACTTTTTTTGGTGGCCTTTTGAGTAAAAATGTTTAGTTAGGATAATATTCCTGGTTCCTCTTCTAGACTTCTCCCCCTTTTCTTTAGAATAATCAGAACACAGAATTTAACTTTACCACAGTGCATGAAAACTAAATCGGAAGGATTTTAATATCTTCTGTTGGTACAAGTTGAATTTGTGTCAGTTGACAAAAGAGGTTTGTGTACCAGTAGAATGCAAAAACATTGTTAAAGATGCATGCAGTATTTTTTGTTTTCTTTCTACTCTGTTGTATTGATTTTTCAAGTAACTTTCAAATGATTAGAAAAATCTTTTTGCTTTGCCTTTTAATAATAGCTGTTCTTTTATTAATAGTCAATGTATTTACTTACCAAGTATTTTGCAGTTGTCACTAAATACTTTTGTTTTCTTTCATCGTGTAGAAGTTCAGTTATTCTACTATGATGGAGTGCCAGAAAGCATTGTGGCAGAACTTTTCACCTTTTAATTATTATTTAAGACATCCCTCAACTTCTCCTGTTGAAACCAGGGAATAATCAAGCAGAAACCTGAAGAAATTTGCAACTTAACAGTTTAAATCTGTCTCTTCTCCTAGTATTTGGGGACTTGAGGACCAAACCAAATACAGTTGTCAGTGCTAGAGAGAAAATGGAGCAATGTGGAAAGTATTAGAATTCAACTAGATTAGTAAATGTCAATCCTACTTGTAACCAAAATTGTGAATCAGTGGAAAGGACTGAAGAGTAAAGAACGTAATGCTGAGGGCTGTGATTTCTTATATTTTCAGAAAAGTTTTGAAAACCTTTTAAATTACAAATGTTGCCCAAGGATACATGGGAATTCTCAAAATTCAGAGATGATTTTTTTATCTAGTCTTACAATCTGCCAAGCTGGTTTCTAATATATTGTCAGATTGATAGAAAAAGATCACTAGTCTTTTTTTTTTTTGGTACCGGAGATCGAACTCGGGACCTTGCGCTTGCACGGCAGGCACCGGAACCACTAAGCTAAATCCCCAGCCCTCACTAGTCTTAATTTCTGTTTCCTTCAAGAATTGCTTTTCTAGAGTTGATGGGGGTGGTGGTGGTCAGATAGTAATTGGACCCTATAGATCTGCAGTCTGTGTCTTGGATTTGCATGTATGTAAATAAACCATAGATTGTACATCAAGTATTGCAAGGCCGATAGTGTCATTGACTTGTACTTCCTGGTCATACTTCTAAGTCAGTTTTTAAGGTAAGTTTTATCATTTATTAAAATCTTTAAATGGGAATTTGGGTTGCCAAAGAAGAGGAGATCTAGGGCTGGGGATTTAGCTCAGTGGTTCCACCGCCTGTCTCTCAAGCGCAAGGACCTGAGTTCAATCCCTGGTACCAAAAAAACCCCCCAAACTATCTGAAATAAATGCTACATTAAAAAAAAAATGCCTTAAAAAAAAATCTCCAAGCCAGACAGGGCCCTGGTCCATGTTCCTGGTGATTTCCTCTCATGCAGACAAGCCGTGGGTGCTAGTTAGGGTACTGGGGTCTTAGGGGCCAGGCCTCTAGGGTTTCCTGTGCAGTCCTGCTGCTTGCTTTAGCGAGGTAATCGGGTGGGTGGAAAACCCAGTGCTTACTTTTGATACTTTATCCAGTCTGCATTTATTTTGAAATGCTGAGATATTTCTCTGAGAAAGTTAAGGCAGCACAGCCCTCAGCATTACATTAAGCAGATGCATGTGAGCTCCCTGAACTCATTTCATATTTTCATTAGTTTGGATAATTACCACGGTCACAAATATTTGGGGAATTGTAAGAATGACTTAATAACCCTTTTAAGGAAATCAGAGAAAATTGCATTGTGATGAACTAGATTAGCTCTAGCTTCAAGAAAAAGTTGCGTAGTGCCCACCACTGCGGAATGATCCCAGCAGTTACTAGAGAGATAGTTGAGGTGACCGAGTGACTTTCGATGGCTCCCGGCCTGGTGCTGCTCAGCGGTACAAGTTAAAGACTGCAGTGTTGCCCCCTTCCCTAGAAAAGTGTTCGAAAGTCCAATGCGCTCCAGAAAACATTGCGTTCTACTGATGTTCTCTAGAGACTTCAGTGTGTAGAGTCGTTGGGAAGCAGCCTTGGAAGGATAAAGATCAGTGGTAAATGTCCTTGCTTTCTGAGTTTAGATCATTTCATCGCTTGCCAGTGGAGGCAGACAGAAGAGTGTGTATGATAACAGATTCTAACGGGGAGGCTCTGATGTGGCAACCAAAGATACTATGGATCTGATGTCTCCACGAATCCCACCCACCAATGATGTCAGTATTTCAGAAAGTACATGGAATGGGCTAATATATTTTCGTTTTGAGTCGGAAGTTTTTTCTCATCATTTTTGTTTTAAATTCTCCAATTTAAAAATGCCAGTCAGATTAAATATTTTAACTTTCTGTAGTAATGATGTGCTTACTTTGTATTTAGAATAATTTTGTACAGTAATCTATAATTAGGATATAAATACTGAAAACTTGGGAACTAGAGGGTGATGTTTCGAATCAGCTTTTATGTCAATATCCTGTTTTCTCTTCACAGACCCTCCTAGACAGTACACAGCTGTGTGAGCGCATTTAGCTAAGTAAGGCACGGACGCCTCTGCCGATGCGCTTGTAGATATTACACTCCTGACCCACAGAGGGCGCTGTGCTCAGGACAGCAGGAGGGTGGGGTTGTACCGACTTGGTGTTAAACTACGCTGTCACCAGTGTACTGTTAGATCGGCATTCTCCCGAGTGCTTAAGCTTGTAACCTAACACACAATGAGACTTAATCCCCTCATTCTGTATATATCACTAAAAACTTCTTAAGGAGCATAAAGCACTTTATTATAATTTACCAAGTTCCCAGTAATGAAATCAACACTGACTTAAAAGTTTTTTTTTTTTTTTTGGTACCGGGGATCAAACTCGGGTCCTTACGCTTGCGACACGTATTTTTAAAAAAAATTTCCCATCTGGTCACTCTTCCATCTTCAAGTTATGTTGTTTATTCTGTGACATTCCCATTTTCATCATCTCAGACTTTAGAGAGAGCGTTATCAAGTTGGAGAAGCTGTATACAGTATAATTCTCCCTCTGAATATATTTCAAGTTCAACTTTAAAAAGGTACTTTTAAAAACCTAATTTTACCTCTCCCCATAGGACTTAATTTTTCCCCTGTTTTGGATTAGAAATAATCATTAAAATGCCTTAGAGTTAATATTTACTGGGTCCTGAATTGTCAGTGTAAGTACTCCCATCATGCTTAAGAATTGCTACAACTTAAATCATTTTGTTGCAGAGAAAGTTTTAGTTACTAATAGCATTTTATACTACACAACTGGATATATTGTTGGCAGTGGACCAGTTGTCTTGATTTTTTTCTTTTTTTTTTTGGTACCGAGGATTGAACTCAGGTCCTTACGCTTGTGCAGCAGGCGGCGAAACCACTGAGCTAAGTCCCCAGCCCTTGTCTTGATTTTTTTTCAACGTAAAAATGGGTGTAGTTAGATGACCCATAACCGATACATTCTTGTCCCACCTTAAAGGACACATTTCACCCTAATTTCAACACATTAAAAGCTCCATTAACCTTTTGTGCCATATTCTAGCATTTAGCTAATGTTGATTTGATGTATTACAGACTTATTTCATATATAGGGTTGGTTGGTTGTAGATAATCAGCTCGTTTCTTAAAAGTTTCTTAAACTCCTTGAAGGGGTAAACATACTGCACTTTAAGCGCTTCCTTTCCCAGAGAACCCAACTGGAGAAGGTAGGAAGGGCTTGCTGCAGGGCTCTGGGGTGGTCACCACAGTTGGAGCCTGCTGGCCCGCTGCTCAGTGCCTGGTGACTGCACTGAGAACACGATGGATGTCCTTAGAAATCTCACCTGAAAAGCATGGCAGTCATATCATTAGCGAAAGGAACTGGCATGGGGCTGAGGTTGCTCTGAGTGAAATACTTCCTATTCTGGGAGAACTCAGGACCTTAAAGCACAACTTTGAAATGTTCAATAAAATCTGAAGGGTGCTCCCTGTGAGGGCAGAGGGCTTCCCTCATCTGTATTCCAGCAGTATGCAGAGGTTGGCCCGCAGAAGCGTTCTTACTTGCTGTCCTCAGCTTGGCGCCATGAGGGAAAATACCTCCATACGGGTAGAAGCTAAGAAGGTTGGAAGTTTTGCTGCTCCCAAGTACGAGTGTTACTTGATAGTATCTGAGCAAAAGCCCTTATTCTCTAGCATTTAGTAGTAAAGAGAAGATTGTTGAGTCCCCCAGAAGTCTCTTGTGGATGCAAGAGAATTAGCTGTGTTACTTGTTTTACAGCCTGCTCAGTGTCTGGACTAGCTTGCCAGTGGGTAAGGTCTAACATTCAGATACAGCAAAAAAAATGCCACCTCTGCCCGAGATAAGTACCAGACCTGTTTTTGAAAAATCTGGCTTGGAGATTCATATTGGCAAAAATAAAGATCTGAGCCAGATCAGTTGGTAACGTGGAACCGCAGAGGTCTTCGAGGACTCGCCTCTGCACGGTGCTTTCTGCCTCCCTCCCCTTTGGCCTGGCAAATCCCTCTTGAGCCTTAGCCCATCTAAACTATCATTTCCTCAAAGGAAGCCTGGCCCCTTACACCAGGTTAGGTTCACAGCACCCTGTGCTGGTAAGTTTCTTACAGCAACTGTACTTGTGTGAGTGTCACTAGTGTTGTGGTCATCATTGAGCTGTGTCTGGCACGTGCCCAGCTCAGAAAACAGTTGACTAAGATGTAATAATTCCAGTTCTATAAAACGTTCCATTTGGAAAAAATGAATCAGGATGAGAGCCACATTTCAGTTACATAACATCAGTCTGTTCTTTCTGTCTGCCAGTTGCCAGTTTGACAAATTTCTTGAATAAAGGAAATACTAGTCTTGGAAAGCCCACCTGCAGGTCCTCTTGAAGCAAGAGTTGATGCTGTCAGCATGTAATCTTGCAGCTCTTCTCCTTGTTTAGGTTCCAGGAAAGTTATTTCAGAACTTGTATTAAATTTTTGTTTTGTTTTGTTTTTTGAGATAGGGTGTTGCTATTAGTTCAGGCCAGCCTTAAACTCACTATGTAGCTCAGGCTGGCTTCAAACTCACAGCAATCTGCCTGCCTCAGCCACCCCCCACGCTAGTGCTGGGGTTACAGGCGTATAGCAGCATGTATTAAATATTTTGTAGTAGTGTAATGGAGAATGAGGAATGATGCCAAAAATTTAAAATACGATTCCATTTTCAAAATCTAGATGTTGGATGTTTTTGAATGCGTGGCTTTAGGATGCTGAAGATACTTTTCATTCTTGCAAGTCAGGTACTGTGTTAAGTGACAGTTATCCTCTTGGACTTAGGTAAAGTGTCTGTCAAAAGCACCTGTTTTTAAACTGCTCAGGCAATGTGAGTCTTAAAATTCATGTTTAGGAATGTGTTGTTGAGGAATGTTAAGTAGTAAAATCTTGTGTTACAAGATTTTTTGCATTTACATGAACTTTCATTTTTCAGAATCTGTTCCTAGAGACAGAGAACTCAAAACAAAAATGAGAACATGTATGCATAAACAGAAGGATGCAGTGCAAATGCCTAGTGAAACTCTGAAAGCAAAAGTGGTACCTGAGAAAATTCCCCGCAGATGTGCTACTGTTGCTGCAAATAAGATAAAGATAATGAGTAACCTAAAACAGACGATTTCAGGACCAGAAAATGTCTGGATTAGGAAGAGTAGCAGAAAACTTCCCCATCGAAATGCTTCTGCTGCGGCTAAGAAAAAATTACTGAATGTTTATAAAGACGATGATGCAACCATAAATTCTGAAAATGAAAAAGAGCTAGAAGATGTTAGTAGCAAAATGCTTTTTCTAAGGCGGTTCAGATCCTGGAAGGAAAAAGCACAATAGTGACTGGGAATATAGAGTGGTGTGGAAGCAAGCAGGGGCCTGAAGTACAGTGGCAGTTGCTTCTGCGCCTCGCCCTGAAGCGAACCCCTTGTTGGCCTCCTTGGAGGAACCTTCTAAAAGCCATGCTGCCGTGGTCAAGGCCTCCTCTCCCAGTGAGCGCACAGCACAGGGCATTCTGAGGAGGTGGACTGTGAGCCTGTAGTCAGGTGGAAAGAAAAGACAGGGCCTGTCCTAAGGTTGCTGTCCCTTCCAGAAAGCAAAGGCCTGGAAGAAATGTCTTGAGTAGAGGAGGAGAATGGGAAGTGGACAGGATATTCAGGAAAAACTTTAAGGACTAAAATTTTAAAAGCTCATCCTTGGGCCGGGGCTTTAGCTCAGTGGTTTCACCACCTACTGTGCAAGCGCAAGGACCCGAGTTCGATCCCCGGTACCAAAAAAAAAAGCTCATCCTGATGCTAATTTTAAGGGTTCTCAATTAGAATATAAAAATTTAGACCACCATGTCAATTTAGAAATTGGAGGGGGAACATATAGGGCACATTTCCCAAGGACGTGCCAATGAGCCCTTTTGACTTTGGGATGGAACAAAAACTTTTGTCCTGAAATTCGCATCCCCAAAGGTTGAAACCAAAAGGACCAGGGGATTTGATGCTGGGGATGTTAGTTCTGAACACAGTGTTGGAAATAGGCAGTTGGAGAAAATCCATTCATGTCTTACTTTGTTTATAACACTGAAATTTATACTGAATGATTACTTGGTATGACTAATTCAGGGATTATATATTTTTCTAAGAAAGCTGTGAATGTAACAGTCAATTCATGTAGCAACAAAAATTAAGAAGCAGACTTAGTTTTAATCAGAAAATAAAAAGTATAGCTTAAGATCAAATTGGTCATATTTTTCGATGGTATAAAATCTTATCTTTTATGTTTCTCTGCAGCACCTTAAAAGTTAGAAGTTAAACACTGAGCAAATTTATTATAATCTCATGAAACTTTAATGACAGCTTGTCTGGTCTATTTCATTGTGGCCTTTGCTAGGAATAGAAAATTTGGTCATTGTACTACAGAATTTATTTGCAGTAGGGTTTGGTTTGTTAATAGGTATTTGTTGACATTAAGATTGCCAGGTTAAATGAATGTATTGCCAGTACTTTTTTAACATAGTAAGATGCTATTGGAAAAGTAAATTGTTACAAGCAAGTTGTTTTCCCAGTTTAAAGATATGACTATTAATACATGATTTACATGTGTAAATATGAAAAAGTAAAATGTAGAAACCTAGAGGTTTCTGTTTCTTTTTCATAAAGACTAGTGCATATGTTTTGTTTATACAGATGGACCAGGTGTTTAGATTACTTGAAATATTTGGGGCTGCATGCTTTTTAAGCCAGAATATTCTAAACTACAATGTGTGTCCATTTCTCTTCTGTAGTGTACTTTAATTTGAAATACAGATCTCCCTTATCTTGTTAGTACAGGTGAGAAATGGAAGACACCCTCATAAACTGCTGTTAATTTTAGGTGCATGGGGTTTGATGTTGGAGCTTTAATGAAATGCATAAACTAATTTTCAGTCCCCAATTTTTATTTCATAGAAATTTCTTACTGGGTATATCATCAAGAAACATCATAAATATAGAAAGTCTGAAATATGAAATTTTATGCCAAAATTTTTGACAGTCTGATGAATTTAAGCTTTCAATTTATAATTTACTGTGCTAGGGTTAATTTCTGTTCATATCTGAGATTGTATGGACAGCCTTTCATAATGGAATCCCTTTTCTGGTTTTGTAATTTGAACATATATTTGCCTTTTCATTTTTGAAGTGCTTGGCCTAATTTTTTTTGTAATTGCATGAAATAAGCATTTGTTTGAAACAATATTCTTGCAAAACTGTTCTCTATGAATTGTATGGAGAATTTAAATCATAGCCAAATGTATTACTACTACTCTATAAAAATTTCAGATTTCCAGAAAAGGTTTCTTTATAACGTTATGGAGAAATCAAATTGAGTATTTTTAGTGGTCAAATGAAAGATAATTTAACAAAAGGACTAAAAATGATGCCCAAATAGCTTCTTACTCTGTAACTCATTCTATTAGAGCAATTAACCAGGAGTCTTCCTGTTGTAAAATACCAGACTGGCAGTCTTGTATATCCTTTCTTGCTAACGAATACCCAGTTTCCAAGCTCTTACTTGCTAGCGCTTTTGTCTTAATGTGTTCATTCCTAAATGCTCATTTAAAAAAAAAGATGTGTAAAATTGTTAAATACTGATTATATGTAAATAACTTATTTTTCCACATCCTAAGACATTTCCAGCCATTTTGAGTTTTTGTTTAATCTCAAGGTTCCCTGCAACCCCAAAGTAGTACTTCCCTTATGACTACTGAAGAGTCTAAAACGCCGGCAATGCCATGTATTTCAGCACAACTAAATCTAGGATACGGTTATTTTCATTGCAGTACTAGATAGTTTCAGTTAAATTACAGCACATTTGTCCTCTTTCGGTTTGCTTGCTTGTAACAGTGCTCTGTGAACTTGTCTTCCAGCACATGGCAAAAAGAACTAATTCAAAAGCATAATCATATACTTTGCTTATTAATGAAAAGCTGTTTCAAACGAAAACCAATTTGTAGTAGTTATAAATGGTCAGTTTTAAAAACTATTTTTGCATTCTCATAAAAATGTTTTTTAGGTCAGCTTGACAATCATCAGCTTTTGAAATGTGAGTTCCTGTATCCGAGTAAAAGTCATTTTTACAACACCACGAAGCACTGTATTTCTTCCAGCGGCCAGGTGTGGAACAGGTGCTTAGCATAGCAAAGCTCAGCCCAGTCACCCTGACGGAAACGAAGGAAGGAGACCGGCGGGTTGTGCTAGTCGCGGAGCCGTACTGCTCCTCGGCTCCGAGAACAGTCATCTGGGACGTCCCACGCTCCGGCTCGCTTCCCGCCCCTCTAGCCCGCGGTCCTCCAGTGTCTCGGTCTCCCGCGCCGCTCAGGCTGCAGAAGAGAAACCGAGTGGTGCTAGGGATGCGGCAGGGACCTGGCCACGCTCGGGGGAGGGGCACGCGGGCGGGGCGGGGCCTGCGCGGAGGCGCATGCGTCATGCGAAGCTCGCGGTTGGGCCGGGTCGGGCCGGGTCGGGCCGGGCCGGGTCGGTCCCACAGATGCCATGGCAGCCACGTTCTTTGGAGAGGTGGTGAAAACGCCGTGCCGTGCGGGCGCGGAGGATGATGATGATGAGGAGGAGGAGGAGAGGAGGAGGGAGGCGCTCGAGGACCGGGAGGTGCGGCGGCAGCTGGCGCGGAAGAGGTGAGGTGCGGCGGGAGGCGGCGGGAGGCGGCGGGAGCCCGGGCGGGGCCCACTAGTTCGTGGCGAAGCCCCCTGTCTCGGCAGCCTCGCGACCTTCCCACCCGAGTTTCCAGAGCCGCGGGGCATCGGTCCTGCTCCGCGGGCTCTCTGGACACTGACTTGCGATCCTCCTGCCTCAGCCTCCCACAGGGGCGGATTACAGCCACGCTGATCCCCTTCTAAACGCCTTTTATTCTGCACCCCATCCGTCAGATAGCGTTGTGCGTCTGCGGTAGGGGATCCCCTGACCGTCCGAAGTTGGAGAATAGCGGCGTGACGCGGGGCCCTACACAGTCCTGCGAATTCAAGTTAGAAAGATTTTCTCCTTGTTAGAGCCGTTCGCCTCGACGTTTTTCAGAGCGCGCCGTTCGCCTCGACGTTTTTCAGAGCGCCTCTCAGAAGATTTAGGCATTTTTTAACGTATGCTGTTCGCAGTGATTTTTCAGTAACATTTGTGTCCACCGGGCACGGTTACCTCGTTTTCTCAAACATGAGTCTTTTCCAGAATTCTAACAATAACCTTACACGTTGAGGGCTTGTTTCGTGGAAAGTAGCTCACAGTCCTCTCTCGCGCGCGCGCGCGTGTGTGTTATAGGGACTAAACCCAAGACCTTTGCACTGAGCTACATCCTTAGCCCTTAAAATTTTTTTTTAAATTTTGAGATGGCATCTCCTACGTTGCTAGGTTGCCCAGGCTGGGATGGAACTTGCCACCCCCCTGCCTCATTCTCCATAGTGCTGGGATTACTGCTGGGCTCCTCCTCCTCTCCCTCTTCTGAGGGCTCTGGCTTTGTCTAATTGTGCCCTCCTGGAGCATTTAACAGCAAGGGCCCGTCACCTGCATTTCCCTACATGCGTGTTTGTGCTGGAGGCCTGGGTAGATTCACATTCACTATTTTGTGGGCAGGAAAGCTTGGAAGTGGTACTTTCAGTTTCTGACTGCACACAACCCAGGTGCCTTATTTTAGGGATGCAGAGATTGACCAGTGGGTCAAGTGGGTGGCACGAAGTTTATATGCAGTAGTTTTATCTGTTGGTTATCATTACCTGAGTCTGTTACTTCTCAGGATTGTAATTAAAGGCTTTATAAAGTAAGATCGTGTGTATTCCCTGTTAGTAAAGGCACTAACGTTACACAGATGGTGCCCTTTCCTCATACTATACTCATTGTAATTAAGTTGCTTCAAGTTCATCTTGTTTCTTGTGTTAGAGAGGTGCGGCTTCTTCGAAGACAAACAAAAACAGCTCTGGAAGTTTCTCTGCTGGAAAAATATCCCTGCTCCAAGTTTATAATTGCTATAGGAAATAATGCAGTAGGTAAGTGAAAATGCGGAGGGCGCGACATTTGTTGAAAGAAAAAATAATGAAGTTACTTGTTTCTTCTCATCATATAAGATCTCAAATGTTGGTTAAGTCACGGTTGAACATCTTTGTTTCTGAGTAAATATGTCACCTGTTCATATGTACCATCTTTTTAATGAACCTAAAAAATAACATTTAAAGGAAACATTCTTGGCTTCAGGAACTTAGTACTCAAGGGACTGTTTCTAGTGTGTTGAGGTGTCTAGGTTTGAATGTCTGAAAGTTAACAAATTCCTTTGAGAACATAATGAGAATTCTGAAAATAATAACCACTGATGTTTTTGAACACTTAATGTTCACTTGGTGAATTGCTGATCACCTGGTAGAATGATGTAAGGTTTAGCTAGAGCCGTGTCTACTTGCTTTATAATTTTAGGGTACTCAGGGAGCATTTGGGCACCCTGCTTATGAGATACCGCTTGTCCTTGCAGAACTTAGGAAGTACATGTAACTAACTGTCGACTCATCCCTGTAAAGTTTGCCCGGCCTGACATGTTTCAGAAGCCTGCTGTCAGGCTGTGAGATGTGGTAAAACCTTTCCACAAGACCCCAGTTACCTTTGCTGCGGAATGGCAGCAGTCCATGGTTTTGAGTGGCTATTTCAGCCCTGGAGTTCTTGGCTAACTTGAGCTTGCTTTTTATTGAACAGAAAATATAATTTGCAGAGCCAAGCACTAAGTTACGTGAATTACTTCTTTCCACAGCATTTTTGTCATCCTTTGTTATGAATTCAGGAGTCTGGGAGGAAGTTGGTTGTGCTAAACTCTGGAATGAGTGGTGCAGAACAATGGATGCTGTACACATGTGCCCCACAGAGGCCTACTGTGTGTTTTACCATCTCAAATCAAACCCTTCGGTACGTGGGACTTGACCCGTCTGGCTCAAAGGCAGTCACCACAGCGTCATTTATAGCATGTGCGCTGGGAGGGTACCTCAGGTGCTCAGGCACCACGTCTCAGTTGCTTTCCCAGCAGCTGTTCGGATATTAACTGTAGAAATGGCTCGACTCTGAAATTTTAAAGCAGGCAGGCCCACAGCAGAGTGAGGGAAGAGTTAGTGTTTGTGTCAGCCAGCTTTTGGTCATAGACGCCTGAAACAGTCTGGTTACAAAGAGAAGAGGCTTGCCTTGGTTCACCGTTTTGAGGTCCCTGATGGGGCAGACCGCTCTCTGGGGAAGGGGCAGCAGAGCCATTTGCTGCTTGGCCAGGAAGGGAAAGAGAGGACTAGTGAGACCAGGGTCCCAACGTCCCCTCCCAGGGCACACGTCCAGCCACCCATTGAGTGGCTTCCATCTCCTAACGTTTACCCTGACCCCCAGGAGTGCCAGGTGGGGAGAGACTTGAGGAGGTACTATGAGCCCTAAGAAGAGCATGGGCCTTTGGGGGCCCTTCCACCCCCATCCATAGCCGCGTACCTTAGGGTTCACATGGTATGAGCTTGGGTAGCAGCTTGGGTGTGTGTAAGATTTGACTTGGCCAAAAACCTTGAAATTTGGCTTTTTTAGGTTTTCCTCTGTCAGTGCAGTTGTTACGTTGCTGAAGATCAGCAGTATCAGTGGCTGGAAAAGGTAAGAGAAATGAAAACCTGTGACCGGGTAGGCTGCAGGAGTTGCCGGTTTCACGTAAACCTATGCAGGCAGATATTATGAGGTAATGAAAACCACATTGAGATTGTCTCGTCCAGTCAGAACAGCTGTCATCAAGCATATAAAAAAAAGGAAATGCTGGTGAGGGTGCAGGAAAAAAGGCCCCGTCCAGGCTGTTGTGGTACGGGCGAGAGTGGTACAGCTGCTGTGCACACGGGTGTGGCCCTGCCTTGGAACTGAAACAGCACCAGTGTGTGTGGCACTGCGCTGCTGGAGGAGTGGAGGTGCCAGGCTCCCAGCGTGCTCATCCTGGCCTGTTCACAGTGGCCACGCTGTGGGATGGGCCCGGTGCCTCCAGCAGGTGAGGTGGGAAAGGAGGAAGAAGCCCTGTCATCCGGGGAAAGCAGATGGAGCTGGAGACCAGCATGTTAGGCGAAGTAAGAGTAGCACATGTCCTCTCTCATATGTGGGATCCAGGAGCTGGGGAAAGTAGAAGGGAGTCTGTGAGTTAAGAAAAGGGGTGGGTGGCAGGATGGACATAATCAAAGTTGCTGTGCCATATTCTGCATGGTTTAATATGTACTAATAAAATATCCAGGAAAGGAGTTTTGGGTGTCCTTTAACATATTGTAGGAGTTTGTTATAGAATAAAACGAAAGACCTCATTTAACACAACCCACCTAACAGGTGTAATCTATGTTGTGCTAAGGGTTCTAGGTCATGGAAGTAAAAAACAGCCAGGAATTGGTGGTGCACGCCTGTAATCCTAGCATTTGGGATGATGAGGCGGGAGGATCTCTGTGAGTTTGAGGCCAACCTGGGCTACATAGTAAGACTTTGTCTCAAAAAAACAAAAAAAAGGAAGAAAGAAATAAACAGGGCTGGGGACGTGGCTCAGTGGTGCCGTGCCTGCCCAACAAGTGCAAGGTTCTGAGTTCGATTCCCTGTGCCAAAAAAAGAAAAAACGTGGTTAGGTTCTTTCCATCCGCCTTATTATTTTGTTTGAAAAATAAGCTAGGTCACGTAAAGGATCAGTGTCACAGCCAAGGGTTAGGTGAAAACCCGCAGTGATGGAAGAGAGGCTTGGAAAGGCGGCAGCTGGCGTTCGTTCAAGGAGCGGCCCTTGCCCCTTGGCTGCCACTCCCTCCAGACTCCAGGGTGCAGCACCTGCTTCTCCAGCATTACACGGGTTCATCTGCTGGAAAATTGTGCACAAAGTGCATGCCCAGTAAAACACCCTTTTGAAATGAAGGATTGAACTCAAGTAGGACTTTGAAAGAAAAACTGTAATTTTGGCAGTTGTATACCTTACCTAAAATGGTGGAGACCAGAGGTGTGAGATTTCAGATTTGTTTGCACAGACATAATGACAGTCCTTGGGGATAAGACCTGGGTCCTCAGCCAGACTCATTTGTGTTTCACATACATCTTACATATGTAGCCTCAAGGCTATAGATAAAATATTTGTGCAGTACTTTTAATAAATCTGTGCATGAAACAAGGTTCATGGGTGAAATTTCCCATCTGTGTTATGTGGGTGCGTGAAAATTTCCCTTTTTTTTGGTACCGGGGATCGAACTCAGGACCTTGTGCTTTTGAGGCAGGCGGTGGAACCACTCAGCTAAATGCCCGGCCCCAAATTTCCCTTTTTGAAACATTTTGAAGCTTGGATTATTGGATTAGGTGTGTTCAACACATACGTGTGTGTGTGTGTGTGTGTGTGTGTATATATTATTATTATTTTTTTTTCTTTTAAACTTTTAAAAATTTATTTTGGTACTGGGGATCGAACTCGGGTCCTGCACTTTCGAGGCAAGCAGCGGAACCACTGAGCTAAATCCCCGGCCCTAAACTTTTATTTTTATAGTGCTGGGAATTGAACCTGGGACCCCAGGCATGCTAGGCAATTGCTCTACCACCGAGCTACATATCTATTCTTAGTGGACACAGAACCGTGCCTGGCTGTGGGGCGGAGTTGCCGCTTCAGGGTGTCTGCACAGCGTGGTAATCAGGCTGACCAGCACGCACGCCTCGCCTGAGCCTCACCTCACTCCATTTCTGTGAGCCGCCTGCGTGTGACGAGGTGGGCCCCGGAGGCCCTCCACATTCTTCCCAGCGCCTCAGCCTCAGTCTCCGGTGCGTTTTAGGACAGATGCGAAAACTAAATGAATTAAAATAAAACGTTTGGTAGAAACCTTTCTTAAGCCAGTTGGCACACTCAGAAATATTTACTAAAAGTTAGTACATGTATTTCATTAAATGAGTTTGTTTCAACAGATCTGTGAACCCTCTTTACATGACTTTATATTCAGTGCATATCCGTGTATTCTGGGCAAGAGGGTCAGATCTGAAAAGGTTAAGAAATTTTAACTTGTGTAGGTTGATATGTCAGTGCTTGTATTTCAGTGCTGTGGAACAGAAAGAGATTAGAAAAAATACAAAATTGTGCATTGTTAAAGCAATATATTTTAATCAGCATTTTCCCCCCGAGTGTTCTTTAGGTCCCTCTGTTTTGGTGCCATCATCCAAATAATCCTCATAATTACCCAGTCTAACAGTTCTTGAGTACTGTACTATTATAGGGAGGAAAATAAATTAGGCCTGAGTAATGTTATCTTTCTTACATGGGATGTACCTAGTAACAAACTCACATAGTGTTAATTTTTCTCTTGTTTATTTACAAAGCTGTGCCTTAAATCATGTAAATCATTTATGGCATTTAATATAAGATCTTGAATTCTATTATTATTGGAACCAGCCATCATCATAAAATATTTTCAAACAATTTCAGTTACCTATACTTTTTTCCTTTAAAAAAAAATAGCTGTTTTCTTTCTTTAAATCACCATAGATAGATTTTATTAAAAGGTAGAGTGAGCCTTGGCTGTCTATCAGGTAGACATTCTTCGAGTTGTAGAAGAGGACTCTGCAGGCCAGATGGAACCTGCCTGTGGTTGTAACTCAAAGCACGTCCAGGCGGGAGCCTCTTTCAGATGCCCATGGTGACAGGCGAGGGGCTGCACGTCACTGTGCTTGTGACTGATTTCCTGAGGGTGGTAGCCCCTGTCAGGAGTGATTCACGAATCAGTGCCTCTCTTGCACATGGTGGCACTGTCCCTTTTGAGACAGAGTCTCACTGTGTAGTCCAGGCTGGCCTCGAACTTGCCATCCAAGACCTCCTGAGTGCTGGGGTTACAGGTGGCAGCAAGCACCATGCCTTGTGTTTTTTGTTTGATTTGAAATGAATTTTGTGTCAGGTTTTCGGCTCTTGTCCAAAGAAGAACATGCAAGTCACTGTTCTCACATGTCGACATGTCACTGACTACAAAACCTCTGAATCCACTGGCAGCCTGCCTTCTCCTTTCCTGAGAGCCCTGAAAACACAGAGCTTCAAAGACCCTGCGTGCTGTTCCCTGCTGGAGCAGCCGAATATCGTGCATGACCTTCCTGCAGCAGGTAGGCTGGGCGGAGGTGCGTGACGTTCATGTTTATCACACGCAGGACCTCGAGGTAGTCTGTCAGTGACGACTGGAGGCAGCAGGTCACTGCCGGCCATGGTGGCTGCAGTATGTGTGGGACATTTGATTTGAGTTTTCAGATGTCGTGGAAGCAGAGTTACCTGCCTAAAGTAGCTCAGATGCCTCAGCTGCCACACTTCCCAGTGGCCTTGTGCTCTGTCGCCCTTGTGGACCAGGAATGGCAGCCACTATTGGCAGGCCTGGGGTGGCAAGGGGCTGGCAGAGCAGCTTCCCTACCACACAGGAAGCTTGGAGTGCCAGCCCTCCTCACACTTTTGTGTTGGTTGTTTTAATGCATTAAAGTAAAAAGAGTTTTTACCTTTCATGTTAAATTTTGTACACTGAGAAGTGACATATAGTATACTATGCTTCATGTATTTACATGTACTGTGGTTTAGTACAGTCAATGAAATTTTATTTATTTATTGGTTTATTTTTTGGTACTGGGGATCGAACTCAGGACCTTGTGCTTTTGAGGCAAGTGGCAGAACCACTGAGCTAAATCCTCAGCCTGAAATTTTAGTCTTGTAAGTGCTTAAAATTGTCTCCACAGTATCTTCAGGAAATACAAAATAAAGATATTTGCAGAAGTGAAAGATTATTAGGAAAATAAGTTGGTTTTGAAAGAATTGGTTCAACATGGCAGCTTAGAGGCCACAGACATATTTTGTAAAGCAATTTTTTATTATTTAGAGCTGTTTAACTTAGAAATGTCGTCTCAGGAGACTTCAGTGGTTCTCCTTGTGTGTTCCCAGTGCTGAGTTACTGTCAGGTATGGCAGATCCCCGCTATCCTGTACCTGTGCTACACCGATGTGATGAAGCTGGACCTCCTGACGGCAGAAGCCTTCAAGCCTGTGCTTTCTTCCAGAAGCCTGAAAGGGCTGGCTAAGGTGAGGTTGGGCTCAGTGATCAACGGCTGTGCAGTCAGGTGCCCCAGGGACGAGTGCTGTGTGTGGCTTGGCCTCAGCCCCGAGCCGTGCACAGACAGCTGCCAAGCCAAGCCTGGCAGGTTGAACTTGAGCACCCCCTCTTCTGGGTGTACTTTCGTGGCCCGATGACTGCTTCATCCTCCTACATGTTCATGGAGTGCAGTTACACGTGGGCAGACGGTTTTACTGCACAGGAGGTTTGTGTAACCCATTAATTCAGAAGATTGTGATGTTTGAGAAGGCCTTTTTGAGGGTGGTATGTGTCAAGTTACTCTAACATGGATTCACCTAATTTTGAGGGGACTGGGTGTGTGAAAATGAGAGAATTAGAGAATCGCATAATGAACCACTGCCCTGCCCTGATCTGTGGGCTCTTTCCCTGGAAAAAATACTTTTATCAGAACACACGCATGCACACACGCACACACACGTGCACACGTTGCCTATAGTTTCAGGTGGTGTAGGGACTCCCTGCTCTCTCTCCTGGGTCCTGTTGTTTAAGAAGTACTTTAAAGGAATGGGGACTGGGCATGCAGTTCAGTGGTGGAGCACTTGGCTACCACGCGTGAGGCCCTGGCCTCCATCCCCCACCACACACAGGGGAATGGGGGTTACACACGTCCCATGGCCCTGTCTCTTCCTGGAGAGGTGCTGAGACTTCGTGCTGAGCACTTCCCAGATTGTCCGCTTTGTGTCTTTTCCTTTTGGTGGCCCTGGTTCACTGCATACCTGGCATGTGGACAGAGGCTCCCAGCAGCCCTTTGCTGAACTAATGAAGGGTAAACTGCTTTAGTGTACTTCCGGCAGATCTTCTGCATTAGCCCAGGCAGGGGTGCTATCTGAGACAGGCTGAGTCACACATGTGTTTGCTTGCAGTTCAGGTCATTTAGGGTCGGTTGCTCTACACCGAGTGTCTTTGGGTTCTGCGCTGACTCGAGTCACTTCTGGTGGGCAGGGCAGCTCTGGGAATTAGACTCCTCTCATCTGGGGTCTGGGCATGGTCAGCTCTCACCAGTACGCCGGAAGGGGAGAGTTAAAAGCGTATAAATATTCACATCCCTTGCTTTGAGGAGAACAGTTTGTGAGCGAGGGAGGCAGTTGCACTGAAGAGTGCTGGGTTTGAGTGACCGAACCCAGCGTGAGTTGGTGCCTGGCTTCTGTCCCTGTTGCGCGGAGTGGGGACAGGTGTCAGTTGCCCTGTGCAGTCGCCGTGGTGGGGCCTCAGAGCGGGGTGCTCCTGCTGGAGTCTGCGTGGGCGGGCATGCTGGGCAGGTCTCTGTGGGGAGAGGTGCCTAGCAGAGCAGCCGCACAGCCAGCCTCGAAGGGGGACAAAGCGGAGGGGTGGGCAGTGCAGAGGCAGCGGTGAGTGCATCTGGGCCGCTGGGGGCCGTGCGCGCCACCTCTGGCTGCTGTCTCACAACCTCCTCTCCTTCCAGGACATTGCCCACAGCTCAGAGACTCTGAAGAAGCTGACGACAGCACACGAAGTTCAGAGTAACATTTACACGTGAGCCCAAGGGTGTCCTCTCATGTCTGCCAGTGTCCATTCCGCGAAGGGGCAGCAAGCACTGCTTTGTAGGTTACTTCGGTGGGTTGTGTTTTGAGGGTGATAAAACAGAATAAACTTTTAAAAATTATTATTTCCATTCCTTTGTGGTTGATACTGTTCACAGCTGAAACAAGCTGGATATTTTTCTTTTATCCACTAGGTGGGAGTATTGTTTTATTTGCAATTTGTAAATTACTACAGTTAAATTTATGAAAAGCTGCAGACATCAGGTTGCATTAATATGGTAGAGTTAGGTGCAAAAATTCTGTGTGATCTCTGGAAGCTTCCAAATAGATGAAGTTTCTGGATATTTTACAAGACCTATGGTCTTGTTTTGTGGATAAAGTTTGATGATAGGGTAACAAAAGGTACCTTATGCTCAAAATGAAAAGACATTTGTGTAGCCTCACATTTGCGAGGCTTAGGCAGGAGGATGGCTGTGACTTTGAGCCCATGTTGGTCTACGGCAGTGGTTGTGAACCTATGCACACATGCTAGCGCAGGCTGCTTGTGTCAGTGGAAGCCCTAAATGGCTTACCATCACTGGTCTGCATAGTGTGTCCAAGGCCAGCCTGGACTGTGTAGCAAGACAGTCTCAGAAAGGAAGACAGTTGTGTGACCTGTCTGCAGTACTGACAGGTTGCCTCCGTGCCTGGGCTCCTTGCAAGGCTGGCGTGTGCCTGTTGTCAGCTCTTACACGTCAGTGTTGGCACCAGGAGTGTGGCGTGAGGTGGAACCCGAAGTGCCCACACTGCCTCAGCACCATGCACCAACCTGCACTAGCGAACATGGATTCTGTGCAGTTGAGAAATGCTTCTCTGCCTCCCCTCCTTTTTAGTTAATATTATGTGCACTATACTATTATATATATTATTATAATTATTATATAGAAAATAGATTTGACAACTCATTTGTATTTTTTAGACTCACCCATCTTGTTCACTGTTCTTGGTAGTGGTTGGCAGTGGTTGAATAAACTTGGCTTCTTTGCATAACTGAGTGTGAGAAGCCCCAGCGTGATGCATTTATGAGCACGCCCTGCTGGTAGGAATGGAGCATTTCCCTCGATGCAGGGTACATGGGGCCAGCTTCAGAACTTCTGGGTGATGTCAGGCTGGGCAAGGTCTTTCATTCTGATGGACTCGTAGAGAACTCACGGCTACAGGAAAGAAGACTGGAAAATGCAGAGCCAGGAGCATTCCACCAAGTTACTGTAAGAAACAACTATTAAAAAAGGAACCTTTGAGGGCTGGGGATTTAGCTCAGTGGTTCTGCTGCCTGCCTTGCAAGTGCAAGGATCCGAGTTTGATCCCCAGTACCAAAAAACAGAAAAAAAAAAAAAAAAAGGAACCTTTGATTTTCCCCCCAAAGTAAATAACGAACATAAAAGAGATAAAGAACTTAGACCAAAGGAAATTCTAAAAGCTGCATGAAAAAGGATTTTGAAGCTGGGCATGGTGCTGCACACCTATAACCCCAGCAATCCTGGAGGCCGAGGCAGGAGGCTCAGAAGTTTGAGGGCAGCCTGGGCAACTTATTGAGACCCTGACTCAAATAGGATGTAGCTCACTGGAAAGGCCCTGCATTCAATCCCAGTACTACAAGAAAAAAAAATTCGGAAGAAGCAGAACATCAGCTTTAGGATTAAGCTGCCATTGTGTAGTGGCGGACCGCAGAGCAGGTACAGGCCCACCTGGGGTGTGGTGTGGAACAGTGTGTAACACAGAACCTGCTCTGGAGGGGGTGTCCTGAGGTGCAGGACGGGTGGACAGATGGCAGATGATCCTGTCAGTGCAGTTCTCCAGAGTGACAGGCGGGGCCATGAGGGGATCCCTTGGCAATCATGGAAGCCAGAAATCCCACAACAGGCCCACTGCAGGTTGGAGCCAGGGTCCAGGTGTCATGGCTCAGCCCAGTCCAAGGCCCCAGAACCAGGAGAGCTGACCAGGGAGGGGACTGAAGGCCAGGGCCTGGCCTGTGGGAGTGCCCCACTGGGAGCATGCTGGTCCAAGGCCAGAGAAGGCTTCCCCTCCTTCAGGAGGGAAAACTCACCTTTTTCTGCTTGTCTTCATTCTCTTGGGGGCCATTGCATGGTGCCAGCCCATAGCAAGGGCATCATGTCTGCCCCACTCCGTCCATTGACGACACCAGGCCCCTCCAGAAACACCCTGGGACCCCACCGGAAGTAGCTTTCCTCCAGTCAATTTCCAGAGTGAACTTGGCCATGAGGAGTGTGCCCTGTTAATTGGGCAGCATAGGCCTCTCCATATGCAGAACTTCATCTCCAGATGCAGACTAACAAGGTGGTAGTGCCACCCAGCACTGTGCAGCTGTCCTGCACACAGCTGAAAACACTCATGCCGAACCAAGGTAAAGGCTAGTGTGGTTGTGCACGCCTGTAATCCCAGCATTTGGAGGTTGAGGCAAGGGGAGCACAGAGAGTTAGTGGGGCCCTGTCTCCTGCAAACAAAGTGAGGAGGTAAGTCCTTGTGGTAGGAGACAGGGTGTGGCAGAGCTAGCTGGGAAAAAGGAGCAGGACCTGTCAATCACAGGACCCTAGGGCAATGCCAAGGCCCCGTATGTAGAACTTCTCGTGAGGTCCTCAGGTATGGACAGCATGAAGGAGGACCAGATGCCACAGGGAGCCACTATCACATGTGAGTTTCCATGCTAGCCCGTGCCATGTTTCTCAGATGCAATGTGTACTCTTAGCTTTGCTTTTACCCTCTTTTTCTCTTTGTTCCGTCCAACTTTACTCTGGTTTCTCCCATACCCATTTACCCTGCACTTTTCAAATAAACTTTTGGCACTGTTTTTGGCTTGACTCATCCAGTTCTTTGCTGGAGGGAAGAAGGACCTGGAATACTTGTAACTGGTGAGCTATTTCTATAGGAACTACCCGACAACAGCTGGGTGATGTTTACTCTTCTGAGATCCTGTAACTTAATTACTATGATGAAACATTAATATTTAAAGTCATATAGTTAATGTTCATTAAAGAAGAAGAGGAATGAAAACATTTGCTTAATATATGTATACATACACACAAACATTCTTAACAAAATAGTTAATACTAATGACAATTACAGTCTGTCTTCGTCACTTTCTTGTCACAGGGACAAAATACTCAACACCCACAGCTTTAAGGAAGAGAGGTTTATTTTAGCAGGATGCAGAAGTGGCACGGTGGAACGGCCTGGCAGAGGAAAGCTGCTCACACGATGGTGGCCAGGAAGCAAAGAGAGGGGAGGGAGGAGATGGTGGGAGACACACTTTACAGGACACGCTCCCAGTGACCTGCACTGGTCAGGCCCCACCCCTACCAAACAGAGGCTGTGGCATCCTGTTTTATTTTGGGGACGGTTTTTGCATCACTGGTGAACACTGGTGGAGGAATCCACTATTGAGTATAGCATTCCTGTGATCCAGTTACGTTCCCAAACCTCTGCCTGTGAACACCTGAGATTTTGGGGAGGGTACTGAATAGATCTAAACCATAAGACAGCCTGATTTCTGTGACTGGTCACATAGTCATAGTTGGTATTTATGACTACTTTCTGTTACCAGCTCTGTATTCCTTTTAGCAAGTACCTCAGTGGGCCATGGTTCTTCACCTCGTGGAGTGACCCATCCTTTCATACCTGAGGGATCTGGGTTATTTGTAGTCCTGGCTGGAATAGTTGTAAATCACAGGGTATGGTGATACCAAGAGATGTCTTCAGGGATATCCTTGTCTGTATTGTGGGGTAGTAGTCCATTTCCCCTTTGGGAGCCTGAATCAGTCGTCCCTGCCAACACCATAACTCCATTTTTAGCCTGTTGACTCGGAGACACGAGGAGTCCAAAATGGCCAGGAGGAGCCTTAGCTTCTGGTTCAGTGCATTGTGCCTCTTTGTAGAAGCATTCCTCCCTCTGAAATGAAGACATCTAGGCCAGCAGAGCATAAAGTCACAGCAACAGGAAGCAAAAATGTTACTCATGGGCCACGAGGGTAGTGGTGAGTGGTACCGTTCTGATTCCCACACGTTGACTCCTGGACCCATGAGTCCTGCTAAGAGAGGAATAGTGTCATATGGTGGATGCTGACTCAAAGCAGTACCATGCCCCAGCTTGGCACGCTATTGCCACCTAGCTGGCGCTATAACCACATCTTAAAGGCATTCTACCTTTCTACCAATTCAGCGACTTCTAGATGGTGAAGAACATGGACAGACCAGTGAATTCCATGAGCATGAGCTCACTGCCACATTTCTTTGGCAGTGAATTGTGTTGCATTGTGGGGACTAATGCTGTGCAGAATTCCATGGCAGTGGAGGAGGCATTCTGCAAGTCCACGAATGGAAGTTTGGGCACAAGCATGTGCAAGGAAGGCCAACCCATTTCCCGGGTGAATGTCTATTCCAGTGAGGACCAAGGCTGTCCTTTCATGAGGGAAGCTGTCCACTGTGACCAACACAGTACCAGGCTGTGCCGATACCCCAGGGAATGGTGTGACTTGGTGATGCCCTGCCCATCTCTGGTGCTGGCAGACTGGACATTGGTGATGGCTGCAGCAGGTCAGCCTTGGAGAGTGGATGTCCAGCCTGTGGAGCTTAATCATACCGCCTCCCTGCAACCATGCCTCTTCGTTCACGTGCCTGTCGGGTGATGGCAGTAGCTAGGGAGAGGCTGTCTAGTAGCTACAGAAGGTCATTCCCCCGCTTGGTTATCCACGTCCTCTGCTGAGGTCACCCTTTGGTAGCCACTCAGATGGACACAAATATCTTCATGTCCTTTGCGCCCTCAGAGAGGTCACCCCATACACTTCTTCCCCACCTTTCTTTTTACCAATTTCCCAACCATGCTCCTTCCATTCTCTTACTGCAGAGAGGACATGGAAGCACCTGACCCCACCCAAGCATCGTGCCCGAGTCTCGTCCTTTTAAATAAACTGGTGAACAAAGTGAATATGCCCTGTGAGCCGATACAGCAAAGGTTTCCCCAAGACTGGGAAGGGGGGACCCTGATTTAGCCTCAGGAGGCCTGGGTTTGGGATTGATGCCTGAAGGGGCTGCAGACTTGTGAGGCTGAGCCCTTCATCCTTGGGCCAGAGCTGAGTAAGCTTGTGGGGCCCCCGGGGAGTGTTGGGTGGGATCGCAGACTTGATGGGGCGAGACCCCCTGGCCTCCTGTCGCTTCCAGGCACTGAGGGGATTCCCATGAAGTGCCTGGCCAGGCCCGGGAGGGGTCGAAGCAGGACGGACAGTGACACGCAGGCCCCTGCTGGGACTTGGTGTGTGCTGGCTGGGGGTGGGGACAGTGGGTGACACCTTGGCCGCGTGTGGAGTGAGCCCCACGTCATACAGGACGGGGAGCCACCTGGCCTCTGGAGCAAGTCCATCCCAGGGCCACCGGGCACCGTGGGCCACCCGGCAGCAGGGTGCTGCAGGCCTCTTGCTGTTTGCCTGGCAGACCTGAGCTGGGAAGGGGGCAGCAAGGCAGGTGGCGACTGCAGGAGGCACCTTTGGGGGGACATTGGCTGTCTGACGCCCAAGCAGAGGCAAACTGGGCCGAGCGGTCACATCTACGCTGTAAGTTAACTGCTTTTTCAACCAGTTGTGGGTTCACAGGACAGAGATTCTGCCTCTGTCCTCCCCGTACCACCTTCCCAGGGTACATTTGGGTCACGGCACACACCCAGGCCCGAGGGCGACATCAGGCGCATGCTGGGTGTTGTGCACTCCTCGTATTTGGACACAGTGTAATGATGGCTCCACTCTTTCCTGAATGTTTTTCTGTCCTGCTACGCTGTCCTGGCATTGATTTCAAACGTCTCCCTGTCATGGTCATTTTGACTCTGGGGAAGAGCTGGAAGTCACACGGTGCCAGAACTGGTGACTGAGGTGGCTGAGGACACAGTGCCGTGTTTACGAGGTGCCTTTCTGTTGGATGGCGCTCGGCAGCAGCATGCGCCATATTTTTGATCAAACCTCGTAAAGACCTCCACGAAAGAGGACTCCCGGAGCTGCTGCAGAAAGTGGCAAGGACAATGGGATGAGTGTGTTCGAAGTGACGGGGAGGAGTTTGAGAGGGATTCATGGCAGTGTGTCTATTACTGTAGTACATTTTAAAAAATGTCAACACACACTGTCTTTTTTTGGAGATAGAGTCTCACTCTGTAGCCCAGGCTGGCCTCGAACTCACAGCAGTCCTCCCGCCTCAGCCTTCCAAGGTACAGGCGTGTGGGATTACAGGCAAGCGCCACCACCCTGGCTGTATACCCTGTGGAGTAGCTCCACTGCCCCCAAGAGCTCTGCGCTACCCCCCCACATCCCTGGTGACCTTGCGCTGGCCTCCTGAGGAATGTCCTTTAGCTGGACTCGCACTGAGTGGCCTTTATGCACTTTCGCTTCCTCCCGCCTTTCCCTTTGCAGCCCTGGTCGCTGAACAGTTGCACGTGTCCGTGTATCCTGTGGTCCCTGACCCCATAGAGGAAAAAATGTCCCAGGCAGGAGGCAGGGGAAAGGTGGGGCCATCTGCTGGCGTCTCAGTGCGGCTCTCCATGTGCTTCTTCCTGGACCTCAGAGTCGAAGCAGGGCGAGTGTGATTCCTTCCCTGGACACCCAGATGCCAGGGCAGAGTTCGCGCCTGGCCCAATTCCGCCCTTACTGCGAGGCCCGGGAGGAGGACAGGGCTGGGGCCAGCAGAACCCACGTGACGCTCGCTAAGTTTGCTGCCTCACATGGCTCGGTTCGTGGTTTCTCCCATCAGCTACCACAGTGATGTTGATGATCACGGGTTCGGCACGCCGGGAGGCTGAAGCAGGGTTGCAAATTCAAGTCCAGCCTGGGCAACTTCAGCAAACGAGAGACCCAGGCTCAAAATAAAGAAATAAAAACAGGGCAGGGGATGGAGCGCAGGTCGAAGGCCGTGGGTTCAGTTCCCGGCACCTCCCCGCCACGTCGCTAATCACAGATCACGCTATCAGATATAACAACAATGAGAAAGTTAAAAATTTTGCAAAAATTACTCCAACATGACACAGGGACACAAAGGAGCACAGGGTCTTGAGAAAGCCATGCCAAGGCCCCACACAGACTCATGTGGACCTCGGGGGCGGAGCTGAGGCCCAGGCCACGCCCACACGCGGGGCAGAGACGGGGTACCTCGGCCTCCCTAGGAGTTCATTCCAAGGAAAGAAAGTCGATTTCAGAGGACAGCAAACCATCAGCTCCACCAGCGCACACTGCAAATATTTTTCTCAGCAGTAGAAAAACTGCAAGGCTGAAGATTGGCTTCATATTTTAATTTGGTGGTTATTTTGTGGTTGGTGTTTTAAGTTTGCTCAAATTTGCCATATTTTCCTTTACAGCTTGTGAGTTTTGTATGATGTATGCACAGCATGAAAGATCTTCCCCTCTAAGATTATATAAGATTCCACCCATGTTGTCTCCTATGATAACTCATTTTATTATGGCTGAGGATCTCCTTTTTTAGGGCACTTTCTTTACGACAGGGGTAATTTGTTTATATAAACGCTTTTGCTGCTGATTTACGTGAAAGCTATTTGTTCCCACTTTTGCTAATCAGTGACTTTTTAAAGAGAAGAAGTGAGATTTCAGCAAATTGTTTTCACCCTTCAATATGCAATTCTTAGCTCGGCTCCAAGATAAGCAGTAAAGTTTCACAGAAAGCCATTTTTTGGTGCAGAATCAGTGTCATTCACATGTGGTCAGTGGTACGCCATGTTCCTGCGTGTGTCGGCCTTTCTCACACAGGGAACCAAACTTCTGCGGCTGCAGGGCTCACTGTAATGTCACCATCTGTTTACTTCCAAGTGGGAAGCTGCCACGGTGCCCACAGGATCTCCACTCACTTCCGGTCACTTCTCCACAAACAAAGGCTCGGCCATTGGAAAGTCCCAAAGAAACCCAGTCTTTCTTTCCCTTCAGCGGACATTACGCCAACCCCAACTCTGGGCACAGTGTTCTATGCAAAATAGGCAACTGCTGGTAAAAATAGTTTGGAAAGTAGTTGGGTGTGGTGGCGCACGCCTGTGATCCTAGCACTCAGGAGGCTGAGGCAGGAGGATCACTGCCAGTTCAAGACCAGCCTGGGCTGCATAATGAGTTCAAGGCCAGCCTGAACCACACAGCAAGCCCCTGTCTCAAAACCGACCAACCAAACCAACAAGCAAATAAAGTTTGGGAATTGCAGCCAGTACAATAAAGCTCACCCAAGTTTTAGCTCTACAATTGTGATAATATTATAATATTCCAGTATTCTTCAGACAACCAACACAAAAACCTTCAATGTGGCCATCTAGGGCCCTGGCATCTGGACTAGAGGCTAAAGGATGGAGGAAGGAAGAGACCCACACATTTCTGTACCCAAGACTTTCTAGAATGTATAATGGCCTGTATTTTCCCACCAGGCACGGATGTCCACAAGCATGTGGGCAGTGGATACAAACCCGTAAGTATGTATATATCTATGTATGTATGTATGGAGACAGGGTCTCACTGTGTACTTCAGACTGGCCTTAAACTCACTAGGTAGCCCAGGCGGGCCTTGAACTCACAGCGATCCTCCTGCTTCTGCCTCCCGAGTGTTGGGATTACAGGAGTGTGTTACCACACCTGGCAGCAGGAGTAATCAGATTTTCGGAGACAGAAAGCAGGATGGTGGGAGAGAGGGGGATGGGAAGACCTTGTTGAAGGGGATAGAGTTTCTGCTTAGCAGGATGAGAAAGTTCTGGAGCTGGATGGTGGTGAGGGTGTACACAGAAGTACACTTACCTAGGACTCCACGCCTAAAAGGAATCAAGACAGCAAATGTTAGGCGCATTTTACCACAATAAAGAGTTGAAAAAACTCAACTTATGAGAACGATGCATATATGGTACAACTGCAATTTGTACATGGTCCGTTTAGGGTATGCCTAAAGGAGTTCTGAGAGAATAGAACAGACAAAAACCAGTTGCCGGTGAGGATATTGGAAAATCAAAGATGCTGCTATTTCATGGTGTACCTTCTGGTGCTGTTTGGAATTTTAATTTGTGATGTGCAGGTCTTGGTTTTGTTGTTTTTGAGACAAGTTCTTGCTAAGTTCCCCAGGCTAGATTGGCGCTTGAGATCCTCTTGCCTCGGCCTCCCGGAGTGCTGGGATTGCAAACATGCACTACCCTCCCAGCTATAGTTAGTTTTTAAATGTCAAGCCAACTCTCCACCAGGTGTCTCCTTCCATGGGTTCCCTAAATCGCGGCAGATCAGCCGTTGAGGATTTTACTGATTCCTTATGCTGGTGTCTGCTGAGATATTTTGAGCTGCTGGGTTTGGTTTCTTTTATAAAACCTGTGTTTTAAAGGATAATGCTTAATCATTTAAAGCAGAACAGCCAGGGTAAATTTTAAACTTTAGTTAGATTGCATTTGAATGAATTGATTTAATATAGAGCATAGCAGAGGCCTCAGTGCTTCTGAAACAACAAATTGAGCAGCAGTTCAGAAAACATTTTGGCAAAAACTGAAATATAATTTCGTACGCGTTGAGCTTTGGTGCCTTCCAGGGTGTTCAGAGCTCTCAGCACCGGAAGCAGAGGCTTAAGACGTCCGCTTGGGCGGAGTGCGGGGTCTTGAGCGTTTCCAGGGCTGCGTGGACGACCACAGGTCACGTGACTGGCTCATTTCCACGACACCGGCCTTTGGGTCGTCAATCTCGGAGATAAAAATAATAAAATTACCCAGTCGGTTGAAAGGAATGTTAAACAAGATGTTGCCTTTAGGAGGACAGAATAAGCAGGAATGGATTTAAAAAACTTTTAAAGCATTTATTTTTATTAGTACATGTGTGTAGTATCTGTTTACATTCCTTGTGTGGAGGTGGTGCACGACACACGTACACATGAGGACAACACATCTTAATTCCTGTTTTCATCTCCTTTTTCTCCCCTCCCTCCCTTAATCCCCTACCGCTTTGAGAAAGATCTACCCTATCTCCCTACTTCCTGTTCTCTTTTATTTTGCTCTTCCTATTATATATCTTTTATTTGGGGTTTCTCATATAAGAGAAACCATGTGATACTTAAGCTTGCGTGTCTGATTTATTTCACCTAACATTATGGTCTCAAGGTGCATCCATTTTCCTACAAATGACCCAAGTTTATCCTTCTTTATGGCACAGTAGTACTCCACGATGTGTATAAAGACCACATTTTCTTTATCCATTCATCCATTGATGGACATGCAGGCCACTTCCAAGTTTTAGCTATTGTGAGTTGTACTGCTATAACCACTGGTGTGCATGGATTGCTGCAGTGTGATGTCTAACTCTTCAGAGAAGATACCTAGAAGGGGAATAGCCGGGTTGAATGGAATGTCTAGTTTTAGTTTTCTGACACATTTCCACAGTGATTGTACTCGTTCACACTCCTGCCAACAATATAGCCTCACCAGCGTTTGTTATGATGGCCATTCTTCCTAGGGTAAGATGGACGCTCAGTGTTGTTTTAATGTACTTTCTCTACTGGCTGACGATGTTGACCGTTTCATCACGTAATTATTGGCCATTTGTACTTCTTCCGAGAAGTCTGTTTGTTTCACTTGTCCATTTTTTGACTGGGTCTTTTATTTTTTGGGGGGGGGTCTAATCTTTTTGAGTTATTTCTATAGTCTAGATGTCAGTCCTCTGTCTGAGGAATCACTGGCAAACATTTTTCCTGTTCTGTAGGCTTTCTCTTCCCCGTTGGTTGTTTCTTTTGCTGTGCAGAAGCTTTTTAGTTTGATACGATCCCGTTTGTTGATTCTCAGTACTGTTTGCAGAATGCATTTTTATCTCCTCCATTGGTTCTGCATAAAAGCATTGGAGTAGGAGCGGGTGTGGGCGACTGGATGGTGGCGGACAGGGACAGGGAGGGACAGGGCAGCCCCTGCTGACAAGGGAGGAAGCTTGGGGTGCAGGGTCTCCTCTTGCCATCTCCAACAGGCAGCTTGTTCCTCTATTCTCTGACAGGGCTCCCTCACCCTCGGCACCGGGGATCCCGGCCGGGGCAGGCCGTCCCCCCAAGGTGTCCTGCGCCCTGAAGTGCTGAGCAGTGCCCCAGACCTCCACCTCGTGCCAGCAGCACTCTCTTCCCGGTTGTGCCAACCAAGGGCGTCTTAGACTTGCCCAGTGTCCCGTAGGGGGCGCTGCCACCCAGGCCGAGGACTTTAGAGGGTGAAGTTGAGAGAGGCAGGACCGAGGGGGCGTCCGCGCAGCTGCCTCGTCCTGTGCACCTGAAAAGGCCGGCGAGGGGCGGGCGCTCCAGGCCCTCAGTGCAGAGCGAGGTGGCCAGGGGTGTTGTGAATGTCCCAGTGTGGGGCTGCTTTGCCAAGGGGACCCCCGATGCTCCACTTGAGCAGGTCTGGCTGGGTGGTTCCCGGAAGTGGAGGGTCAGCTCCCTCCCACTGCCGCGCCCCGATCTCACTAGGACTTCCTGGTCCTCAAACGGCCACACTGGGGGGGGGGTGTGACTTGAAGCTGCGTTTCCTGATGGTGGAGGAAGTTGAGCATCTTTTCAAAGGCTTCACTTTTGTAATGTGAAGAACGTGTGTAAAAAGGGGGAGTTATGAACATATAAATGTGAACATAGTGTGAATAGTGGGTATGGGGGTGCACACTTGTAATTCCAGTACTCTGGGAGGCTGAGATAGGAAGAACGAAAGTTCCCTACCGAGCAGTTTAGGAGAGCCTATCTCAAAACAGAAACCAAGGGTCGGGGATGTAGCTCAGTGGTTCCCCCGCTTGCCTTGCAAGCGCAAGGTCCCGAGTTCGATCCCTGGTACCAAAAGCAAAAAACAAACAAGCCAAACAGGGCTGGGGATGTAGCTCAGTGCAAAAACCCTGGGTTCAATCCCCAGTGCTGCAAAAAAAAGTGTATTAGAAGAATTGTAGGAGGATCCTGGGTCCATCCAGATGCTTTGGGGACCCGGCCAGCACCCCAGATGGGCAGCCCTTAATCTTCCAAATGCTCATGGGAAAGGGACGCCTTCTTCACACCTTACAGGCCCTGGGTCCCCTCCCTGCGTTGCTTGTGGCAATGGTGCCACAGAGCCGCTAGGTGGCGCTGAGTCCCGAGGTTGAGAGGACGTGGCGCCCGCCAGTCCTGCTGGGCTCAGAAGTGCTGCTGCAGGAGGTGTCTTGCGGGGCCCCGGGTGGTGAAAGCTTCCCTGGCAAACGTGTGCGCACGTGTGTGTGTGTGTGTGTGTGTGTGTGTGTGTGTGTGTGTGTGTGTGTGTGTGTGTGTGTGTGTGTGTGTGTGTGCGCGCGCGCATGCGTGTGTAACGCAGCCTGCCCCGCTTTTGGAAATGTCGCCGGGGACAATGGTCATTGCAGGTCAAGGTGGGAACGCAGTAGTCCCCTCCCAGCCCACCGCCCGGGGCTGAGTCTCCCCTGTGCGGCTCAGAGAGTGGTGGCGCTCGCTGCTGTTGTCACTGCTTCTCTTTAACGGCTCCTTCTTGCTGCCCCGATAATGCTTGAAGTTGAGTGGCAGGACCTAGTGACACGGCTGGGGGCAGCAGCCACACACCCTCATCTCCCCTCTTCTGGGTCACAGGGGGTGGAACCCCAACAGCTTTCCAGGCAAAGTGAGAGCCCAGCCGGCCGAGTCACAAGGCATCGCCCTGGGGGGGACCGAGGCGGGACCGAGGCGCCCCGAGTCGTGTGAGAGGGCTCTTCTGATTGGCCCACTGTCGTCATCTCCGGCAGCCCCTGGGACAGGGCAGTGCCCAGGCCTGCAGGACACCCTCAGGATTTGGGGCCTCTGCCTGGTGGCCAGGCTCTAGGGGTGCGCTTGGCAGAGAGGGGACCGCAGCACATAACTTGCTGTGAAGCAGGGCCCTTCGGCGCTGGCCAGTGTGCGTCCCAGACCGGAGCTTCCATCTTTGAAAAGGAGATTGTCCTCATTTGGATGTGCTGACAACACTCGAGCACCTGGCCAGGAAACCCAAAGCTCTGCTCATCTCTGAATATCACAGTCTCCTCCAGCACGCGTTTACTTCCTCCTGTATGAAGGTCTCACCTTCCGTATGATCTTGTTTTTCGGGTAACAGCGCGGTCCAGGGTGGCCCCCTCTCCGTGCAGCAGGATACAGGGATGGGACCTGCAGGGCCCCAGGCCCCTGTCCCTTCACCAGAGGCTGCGGGCCCTCTGTGAGGGGGGTGATAACCCATCTTTTTGGGGGGTTCAGAGTCACAAAATCAGTGAGCATGAGATTTTTCAAAAGCTGACATGTATTCTGCAAAGTTGGCATCGTTAGCTGCCTCTTAGAGGTTCCCTCATCACGCTTGTATCATTAGCGTTTCGAGTTGTGTCTGGCTGGTCACAGTTATCACCAGGATGTTAGCCTCAGATTAAGTTAGTGAATAGATTATTTGCAGGGCAGATTTAGGGTTACCAAAGGGGAGCAGATACACAGTCATCCAGGGGTGCCCTTTTCCCCCCGCACTTCCTCTTGTTACAGGCTGGGCACCCTTAAACCAAACATTTCAACTCCAAAATGGGAAATGTTCTGAGCTCCCGGGTGATGTCACAAATGGGAAATTTCACGCCTGACCTTGCGAGACAGGCCACAGTCAGACACAGGTGCACGTCACACAGCCCCCATCCCTGTGCTGGGGAATCAAACCCTGGGACAACACACAGTTCACTCAGCATCTCTGAGGGGACAAAGATCCTCCCAGCCCTGATACCCACAATGTTATCTTTTTCCACTACACCAGATTCCTCCATGCGGGCACAACTGCAAAGGGTGACACTCCCAAATCCGAAAAGATCTGAAGTCCGTGACACTCTGGTCCCAAGCATTTCAGATAAGGGATCCTCAATCTGTTACTAACATCTTGGATGAGAGTTTTACAGTGGACCCTTGACTTATGAACTGAATTTGTTCTTGAGGGCTGGTTGTAACTCAAGTTGGTCCATGAAGGCTCAGGCTCCTCTACAGTCTTCAATAGTCTCTCTCCTGTACACAGGCAGATCTCAGTGTCCTTAGAGAGACACCGGCCCAGGATTTCTCAGTGAACCTCACACAGGAAAGGGTGCTGAAATGTTCCTTCCAGAGATCTTTAGGGTTAAATCTGTATCTGAGTCCATCTGGAAGCACAAGTGGCTGGCATTCAGGTCATAACTCAAGACTTTGATGATAAATTAAAACTAAAATTCTGGTTGTAACCCAAGTTGCTTGTATGTCAGGGCGGTCATAACTCGAAGGTCCATGGTAGATTTGTTACATTTGATAAGCCAATATTGATGGGCCATTGGTAACTGAAATCTCTCGCTTACATAAGGGTTCCCTCTTTGTGCTGTCCATTCTAGGTGCTCTGATAAACGTATAATAACGTATCTTTCATTATAGTGTCCTGCAGGTTAGTATCACCGGCCTAAAAACCAGTTGCTATAACGTTTTTGTGCAATCCCTCTCCTCTTTTTGGTTATTTTACTGTGGCCCTGGCAAAAGTTTTGAAGCCCTCTGTACTTTTCATTGCATGTTCACCGCTCTGCTCAACTCGAGGATTATTTTGGTAGCACCACATAGAACGTAGAAATTCACATTTCCCAAAGACCTCTTAATATTAGATTTTATTATTTTAATTCTTGTGGCTAATTTGAGTTTTAAAAGTTTATTTTAGAATAAGTTTTTATTACCAAAGCAGTGAATGCTTATTTAAAAACCCCAAAGGTACATGTATTTCGTTTATTCATTAACCGAATGTTTACTGAGTGCCCACTGCTTACCAGCCCCCTCGAGGTTGGGGCTACGCAGGCGAGATGGACACAGTTATTTCTCCAGGGAGCTCATGTGTGATGCACAGATGGATTATAAAACCATAAAAATTATACAGCAACTGCTGGGCAGCAGCACCGGAAGCTATAGGCCAGTGGTTGGTCACCCGAATGCCAGTTAGAATTACCCGTGGAGCTTTGAAAATATTTTAGGGCTGCTTCAGGGATCAGGGAACTCAAAACCCAGGCCCGAGTGCCAGGAAAGCTCCCAGGAGGCTCTCAGAAGATCAGAATTGGGAAGCTGGGGCAGGGCTAGCGGCAGCGGCCAGAGAGTTGGGTCTTAGGTAAGAGGGAGAGAAGTCTGCTCCAAAACGTGGGATGCAGGAAGCTGGGTGGGAGGTCCTGCATGTGGGAGGGGCCGTCCAGGCTCAGAGGCGAGTGTGCCTCGTGGATTCTGCAGCCCCCAAACCTGTTGCTGTCGGAGACATGGAATTGCTGGGGGACTAAGCTGAGAGTGAGGTGGGAAAATGAAAAAGAGAAGGAAAAAACCACAGTACCCCACGGGGGGGGCCTTAGGAGGCCCCTTTCCCAGCTTCTGGGGCTCCCTGTCCACCCTGACCTGCCTTTCCGGGTCTGGGGCAGGACAAAGGATTGGTCAAATTCCCTGTGGGTGCAGTGGGCCTGGGACTCTGCTGTCCCACTGGTCACCTGTCTGCTGCCATTTGCTTTGCAGGGCTCCTGAGCAGGTGGCCAGGGTCACCGCCATGGTCAGGGAGAGGAGGGACTGGAACCGTAAGCAGTGACTTCTCTCTCCATTTTGCAGAGGAGTAGACTGAGCTGAATCCGTCTAGAGGACCCCCGGGTGGCCAGGGACACTCCTGGCCTTGGGCCAGGCTGGGGCTCTCTCTGTTCCCTTCTCTCCATCCTCATGAGATCCACCTTTGGTGGCACTGGGGTTGGAACCCAAGGCTTCCTGCATGCCAGGCAAGCGCTCCACCACCAAGCCACACTGCCAGGCCCCATCATGGTTCGTGTAAGCCAGCCTTCCCATGAACGAAACACAAGGCTGCTTTCATTTCAGTATTGCAACCACTGTACGGTGCAGTTCCACACCCAGGAATGTTTGAGCCTCCGTCTCCTTAGAAGTCTCTGGGCTGAGTCTGCTGGCACACACCTATGATCTCAGCGTTCTGGGAGGTTGAGGCACAAAGACTGAGACTTTGGGAAATTTGAGCCTAGCCCAGGTAACTTAGCAACTTAATGAGACCCTGTCTCAAAATAAGTAATAAAAAAGGGCTGGGGTGCAGCTCAGTGCAAAGACCCTGGGTTCAATCCCCAGTCCCCTTAAAAATAAAAACAAACCAGGTTGGGAGCCTTCAGCTGAGCGCCCCTGCAGTGCCTAGGTTGTGCCCTTGGTGACCTGTCCCCCAGGTGGGCCTGGGGCGGGAGGGCTGAGGGACAGGGGTGGCCTTGACCACCCTGGACCACAGCAGGACGGTGACCCTGGCGTCCCCGGGCTGTGTGTCCCGCCTGGCTCACCTTCCCACTGGGCAAAGGCTGGGGTCCCCGGTGGGGGCCTGCTGGCTAGGGGCAGCTCCCTGTGCTTGGTTCCCGGTCACCCTGGTCCTGAGCCTCCTACTTCTGCAGGCGTTTTCCTCGCAGTGTTTAAAGCTGATGCCTTTGTGTTTTCCGGAAGTCCACAAGCATGGCGGCCTCGCCCCGCCCCTCCATTTTCACCTTCTTCTGCCTTCCCCGTAACGTGGCTTTCATCCATCCTCAGGGGTCCATGAATTTGTTATCTCCACAGAAGTATTCGGGGGGCCGTGTGGCCGTTATTCCCTGCGGTTTCTCACCTCAGCCCGTCCGTTCCCCCGCTCACCCTTCAGCCACCGCCGCGCTCCTGACCCTGCGTCCCCAGCGGCCTCCCAGCCCAGAGCCCGTTCTGATCTCACCTCACCTGCGCACCGTCCCTCCTTCCTGTCTCTCTCTGCCTCGCGTCCCCGAAATCCTTCGCCCCCGTGCGGCTCAGTCCCCGTGAACTTCCGTGGGGCGCCGTGAGCTCTGTTCCTGCCGAGAGCCTGGTTTCCACGGCTTTCCGTTATTAGGGTCTGGGCCCCTCGGGCGCCCCTGGGAGCTCAGCCGTGGTTGCTTTAGGAATCGAGAGCGCCTCCCGGCCCCACCTGAGACCCCACACTGCCGTGCCGCCCTGCCACCTCCGGCCGCCTGGACACCCCCAGGGCTCCTCCCAGCTACCTCGCCAGCCAGTCAGGAGGCTCTGGGAGCCATGGCTCCTTCTGCCCCATCTGTCCCTCCGAAGTGTGGTTCTGGGGACACCTGGAGGCCCCGCGAATCTCCCATGTGGGCAACATCACGCTGCTCCTAGCCGACCTGAAACAGGATCCCTGCTGAGGCCTCGAACCTGAGTCACACACGGCTCTTTCAGGAGCCCCAAGGGCCACACTGAAAAGCAGAGGCGCTGGCACCGCCCGCTGGGTCCCCCTTTATTTTGTGGTGGGAGAGAGGCGGAGGGAGGGGGGATGATAGCTTCCATAGCAGGACACGTGTGAGGCAGCTCCTGCCTGCTGCTCCTCGTTCCCTGGCTCCGTCCTGACAACGGCAGGGCTGGGATGGAGAGGACTCAAGAAGGATGTGCATGCAGAGCTCTGAGAAGGGTCCTGCTGATGGGCCATGTGCCGAGGGCCTAGGGCATTCCACCCTGGGGCATGCTGGGAGTTCGGGCCCCCTGGGGTAAGTCTTCACAGGCTTTATGGCCCTGTCATCCAGGAGGGTGCTTCCTCTCCACACACCATCTGAAATCTGCAGGTAGGTGAGTGGCTGGAGGTTCAGGGAGGTTGTCTTAGTTACTTGTTTCTGAGACACAGTACCAAAGCCCCAAAGTTACAGGACAGAAGCTTTATCTAGTTCACAGTTTATGGAGGTTTCAGTCCATAATGGGCTGGCTGCAAGCAGAGTGGCTTGGCAGGGGAGCAGAAGCCAGCGAGCGAGGAACCCTAACAGTGTCTCTCTGCCCCTTTGTTCTTGTCCAGACTACTTAGGGCGGGTAGTGCTCACATCCTTAATCCTACTGCCCTTGAGGCTAGCATTGCACGGAATCAATTCCAGCTTCATACTCTAGATCCAGCCACCTTTGAAAAAGCCCCACCTGTGACCGCTGAGGCTTTGGGAGGACAGCTAAACACAAGCCACAACAGAGGTGCTGATGCTGTGGCCTGAGTCTGAAGGCTGAGGCAGGGGGTTTCATGTTTCTGGAGGGTCTCAGCCTTTCTCTTACAGCCTTTGACAGAGCAGGGGAGCCTGCCACGTGGAGAGTGCTTGGCAGTCTGCTGATTCAAACGGATGTTGACTTGAAAGATATCTTCACCATGACATCTGCACTAGTGTTGGACCACACAGCTGGTCACCAGTGGCCCAGCCAAGTCAATGCATAAACGTCACCATCTAATCAGTCACCATTAAATCAAGTGCACCGCCTGCAGGACTGCCGAGCCGAGCCATGGGCAGAGTGCAGTGAGCAGGGGGAGCTTGGGGAAGAGAGGTGATGCCAGAGGAGAGGGAGAAGGGAGCAGGGGGGAGGAGGGGGGTCCGTCAGTGTGTACTAGAGAAACAGACATGCACAAGGTGGACAAATACATATTTTACCAGACTGGCTTACCATGGCCGCCCAGAGTCGGATGGGGAAGAGGGCAGAGGGGCTGTCTGTGCACCTAAGGATTCAGTGGAAGGTGTGGAGCTCCTTGCAGGGAGGGTCCTGTGCGAGTCCATATCAGGTGGCCCGTGGGTCTGTGGTGGAGGCTGAGGAGTCTATGCCGGAAGCTGAAGGAGCTGCACCGGAAGCCGAAGTCTGCGCTGGAAGCCAGGAGATGACGTCCAAGGTGAAGGCAAAGACTGCAGCGCCTCTGAAGACCAGAAACAGGTCTGTCCTTCCTCATCTCCCCTTTATGCCATCCAGGCAAGGAGCGGCCCTAGGGCGTGGAATTGCTCAGCCGATTTAGTTGAGCTTCTCCTAATGAAACTTCTCAAATTGACACAATCAATCAACCATCACAGATGGGGTGGGGCGGGGAGCATCCCGCCAGGCCTACTGTGGTGGTGGCAGGGGTGCTTGGGCCTCTGTCCTGTGTCCCTTGCCCCGTCTTTGATGTGGGCCACTGAAGGAGCCTGGCTGGCTGTGGAGTACGGCCCTGCCCTGGGCTGGGGGATCCATGCGGCCTCCACAGTGGCCCAGGGCTCTTGGGCCTGGAGGCTCCAGAATCCCGAGCCCAGGTGAAGGGTGAGGGTGCAAGGTGGGGTGGAGCTTGTCTCCTGCAAAACTCGGGACGCCTGGGGCCTCTGGGGCGGATCAGGTCTTTCTTGTGGGACCAGATTAGTGCCCACCGGGTGGGCTGTCATGAAGGTAGGGTGCCATCCGGGAAGGTGTGCCCCTCGCACACATACCCTCTTGTCCTTCTGCTTTCTGCCTGGCATCGGACTTTTCGGCTTCCAAAATTGTCAGCCGAAGTAAACATCTCTTCTCTGTGAACTCTCAGCCTCAGACAGAGACTGCAGGTCAGGTTCCTCAGGGAACGCAGGGCTCCCAGCTGCAGGATGGAGTCCAGCCCCCCCCCCCCCAAGGCCTGGCGGCCTCCTGACTTCCCTGCTGCCTTCTCTGGGCCGCCTCGGGTGGGGTGGGGTGGGCATAGGAGTAATGCACATGGAAGCCGCTGTGGGCAGCTTGTCCCTGCTTGGCTGCTGTCCTTTTGAGTGGCCCAGGAATCAGAGGGACAATCTCCAGACCCCCAACTCCATGGAGATGAGAAAGCTGTCAGGGCAGAGCTTTCCTGGCAGGGCCTGTGGCTCACACAGAGAAGAGCCACAGTTTCTGTCTTGTTCCCCTCTGTGCTCCTGGAGGCCGCTCAGTACCTTCACAGCCAGGCCTTGCTTTCCCTTTGCAAAGGGGCTCAGGGCCCTGCGCCGTAGAGGAACACGCTGCGTCTTTCTGGGGCAGCACTCACCCGACGCATACCCCTGCTGTGGCTGAGTGGGCACCGTGGGTGTGGCCTTTGGGGTGACAGCTCCCTGCTGGGGCCGTGTGGATGGATTCAGGCGCGCACCTAGTGTGGGCAGGCCAGGCCAGGCCTCGACTCCAATGTCCCGGGCCCAGGCGAGCACCAATCTTGGGGCGCAGGTGAGAGGGCGGGTTGTGGAGGGCTGACCCTGATGGAAGGACGCCCACCTTCTGGAAACTTCTGAGCTTTGTGACGACCCCTGACACCCCCAGAGAAGAAACCCTGGCTCCTCTCCGACCCCGCTTCGCCATCTCTGGGTGAGTAACTCTCCCTGCTGAGCTGGGCTCTTGATGCACAGTGTTCGCCTCGTCGTCTGCCCAGGACAGGACAGGTTTGCCTGGAGTCTTCCCTAGCAGGCTTGCCTGTTCCTCCCCTGTCTGTGTTGATGGCAGTGAGGTGTCTGCAACCTCTTAACAGCTACATTCAGAAAATACTATTATTGTAGTTATTACTTTGTGATACCGGGGATGGACCCCAGGGCCTCATGGGTGGTGAGCACACTGAGCTACACCCCAGCACCTGTTATTATTAATTTTCCTTACAGTAAATAGAGCGGAAGTCTGCTATAAAAGAGAAACTCAGCTAAGTGCCCTGGAGCGAAAGAGAACACAGAGCTGCTATCCCATAGGCCAGCGCTGGCGAACCTACGGCCCAGGGGCCACAGCTGGCTGTTATCACTGACAGCACTAAAAGCTTTGCCCTCACTGCCAGAGACAGACGGAGTATCATCTTTAAAATGATTTTGTAGTCCATGTTCGCAGTATGTGATGGTTGCCTTCCTCACAGGGAGCTGGTGCATGTGCAACACATGGCTTCGTTCTTTTTGTGTTCTCTCCCTCCCTCCCTCTTGGTCCCATTTGCTCTGCCCCACGGTCAGGAGAATGCTCCTGCACCTACCCCACGCCCTTCCTGGAAGCCCAGAGAGACCAGAATGGTTTCCCGTGTCAGTTCCACCCCCCAGTCCAGTAACTGGGGTCACAGCTGGGATCACTGGTGGAAACATCTATTGTTTCTGTAGTTGTTTGTCTTGCGATGTGGCACATTCTAAATTCATGATGAAGAGAAAAAAACAAAATACAAACCCATCCCAACCAAACCAATGCTGAGTTAGGAGACCTGGTTGGTGTCCTGCTTCTGCTGGGAGGACCTCAGAAGTTACGGTCATTTCTAAGCCCGGGCCTCCTCATCCAACAAGGGGTGACCAATTCTTGCATCACCAGGGTGCTGTGGGACTCAGAGTCGCTAGGCCCAGTGCCAACCCTGGGATGCAGAGCTTTCCTGTCCACTCACGAATGCTTGGTTCCCCTCCACCATCCAGGTACCACATTATTTCAGCACTGGCACCAGCTTAGAAGGTTATGTTCAGAGGGACAGAGAATACTCCAGACGGGTGGTACAGAGAGCTCTACACAGCTGTGTTCTGACAGACTGTTGTTGATTTGTCAAGATTCTTAATGGCAGAATCCTTTTCCTTTGCTTCTGTCTTTTCTACTGGACTTTTTTTTTTTTTTTGGTTTTTTGAGACGGTCTCACTCTGTAATTCAGGGTGGTCTTGAACTCAGTGTATTCCAAACTAGGCTTGGACTCAGTAGTGATCCTCCTGCCTCAGCCTCCTGAGTGCTAAGATTATAGGCGTGTGCCCATGCCTGGCCCCTTCTGTTGGAATTTGATCAATGTCTGAAGAAGTTATCCATCTCTATCAGATGAATAACACACGTCATGGGCAAGGATGATAATTCTTCCCAGACAGTAGTGAGCTAAGCCTGGCTTGTACCAGCTTCTGGGGGATGATTGTTGATATTTAAGAATTTTGTCACCTGGTTAAACGATTGATGACTTTGAAACCAGCCATGGAAGGGCTATTTGCACCATGGATCTGGCCAGTGCTACAAATTGGGCATTTGTTTTTCTTTCCAGAGAGTTGGTTTACCAGCATCCCATTGCTTAAGGTGAGAAAAACCCACTGTCATTTATTTCTGGAGAAAAATAAGAGGAAACAACTTGCCCCCGTCTTGGGCAAAGCCTATGATTAACTATGCTTTTCTGGTTCCTGGAATATTTTTTTTCTCAAGAAAGAATAATCATAATAAAAAACTCTGGGTTAAGGACAGGAACCTGGAAATAATGTAATGTTTGCGGGCAATGCTCAGGTGGTAAAGACGACCTGACCTTCTTACTCTTGGAAGTGGGGCTGGAAATTTGGCTGAGAAAATAGAAAACATTTAGACACCACCTGTGTCCACCCACGGGTCCCCTGCCGGGATTGTGTGCACTCACGTGCCTTAAAGAAGGGGTGGGGCAGGGAGGGAAATGCAGTGCCCACGTGCACTCGAGCTGGTCTTTTGCAAAAAGAGCTTGCCATGGGGGAGACGATAAAATCCCTCACCTGGGCGGCTTGGCGGAGCTTCCCGGCCCGCCCGAGCTCACCTTGGCCAGCCCCAGGGCTCGGTGCAGGGCTTCTGGGGAGCAGTTCATTGCGGAGCGTTCCTCAGAGTCTGAAACGTTAGCGTGTAGCATCGAGC